AATGTGCGTGGGTTAATTTAGCGTCCACTACTGAGCGAATCCTACCTATTTCATTTAATCTAGAGCATGTGTAACCCAAGATCTGTATAATGTATTGCATGAGTGCAGAATTCCAGGAGTCATTGTGCTCGATCAGCCTGGAGCTCGATCTTGTCTCGTGTCCATATATATTAGTGCATGCTGTTTTTCTCCCATCTTTCAATTTTCTTTCTCCTGTTCTTTCTTCGAAACAAACGCTAGCTCAGCCCAGTAACAGCGACAAGCCATGAGGTCACCTTGCGCGCTTATACTTTGCTCTGCACTTGGATACCTTGCAGAAGCTCACAGTGGGTCTGAACTGAAGCGGTGAGCCGGTAGCATCTGACCTATGCACAGACATTTTTGGTATACTGCTTGTGAACGGAACAGAGTCCCCCGAATGGAAATACGTTCGGTATCAAATACGGGGACGTTCTGAGCCAACTCAATCACTAACAAACGTAGCGACGTCGCAAGGGTTTACCCGGACCCACTGCGTCCTGAAGACGAATTCCAGAAAACGATCCCGGACTATGATATGGATGGCGCAAATATTACGTGCGGTAGAAATGCATTCGATGCCGCAGCTAAGACTGAGACCGCCGATGTTCTCGCAGGCTCTGAGGTCGGCTTTCGAGTGTCGTGGAGCGGGGGTGAAGCGAGAGGAGGGATCTATCATCAAGGCCCTCTTCAGGCCTACCTTTCTCGGGCACCGAATGATGACTTGGAGCATTACCGTGGAGATGGAGATTGGTTCAAAATTGCTTGGAACAAGCCGACCACCAATTACCACTGGGACACTTGGGGCGCGACCGAGGCAGGTTGCCCGCATGGATTTGAGTGCTGCGCTAATGTTTTAACAGTGGAACTTCACCATTCCTCTAAAAACGCCTCCAGGTCGATACTTGCTCCGGGTCGAGGACTTCATGCCGTCTCATATTCAAGGCCAAACGCAGTGGTATATCAATTGCGCGCATGTCAATATCATCGGTCAGGGTGGCGGGAATCCTTCCGGATTCGCTCGGTTCCCAGGTACTTACCGATATGATGACCCGGGTAATTCTTCTCATTCTGTTTGTCCGGATTGGTCTAATGTTTTTGCCAGGTATCTGGATCCCCGTTAACCAATATGAAAACGGTGGTTGGGTAAAGAATGAAGACATGCGATTACAAGATTATGTTCCTCCTGGACCGCCAGTCTGGACAGGCTAGGTGCAGAAAGGCGGATAATGGGGTACATGATGTTTCCCGGAGCGAGAGTTTAACAAATGCATGATATTGTGATTGATCCTATCTTACGCAATCGCCATCTGCGGGTGCTCTAAATCGCTGTCATGAAGCGCAACGCCTGGTCACGGAAACACGTGCAAAAGCTGCTGCAGAACCCATAATTTGACTTCAGTCTGCTTGTGCTCTGATCCTTCGAGGTATTTCCTGGCCGGGAGCCTTGGAAGCTCCATGGAGGGAACCGGCCTAAACTGTATCACGAGGACAGAATGTAACCTAATCAATATATGAGCCTGCTTCTGGTAATTTTCAATAATGTCACGGCCGCAACGGAACGTCATTCCCATGTGTTTATCCTTTGCAGCAGGTGGCCAACATAAAAGAGAGAAAGCTACCAATATTTAACCGCAAGATCATCGGAACTGCCCTACTCTTATTCGACCCAATAATTGCTGAGAAAGTTGCTATAGTTTTCTCAAGATGCATTGGAAGTTCGCTCTTCGCACGACTCTATTCTTCGGGGTGGTTTCGAGGGGCATAATCGCTGACAAGCCATCGACCATAGAGGTACGCGAGACAGTCACATCAATAAGCGGTTGTCCCTTCAACATTTCCGCCAGTTTCAACGCGGACCTGACCGTCCTCGAGATTGCGTACTCACGCAACGATCTCTCTACCGAGGTGGAGGGTTCATATACTTGTTTTGGCTGGACAAGGTTTGCACACACGGGGCAAGATGTGGAGATGCTTCTGCCAAGTGCGAAAGTCCAAGGCAAATTAGCAATACCTGAGGGTACTTCTCTCAGGGTGGAGACGACGTTGTCTTGGTTCAACGATCAACGGCCGGTGAGTGAGCGAGATTCCATATCTGCTGCTTTGTTCCTTCCTGCGTCCCCGAGCCTTCGATCTTTGCTCCCTTTCTTTCTTTGCCTCCACTTCTGGATCATAGTCTCCGCTCCTGTCCTCATCAACCCATGAGCCGCCATGACCTTGCAGTCGCGACTAACAGTGGGTCACACAGCAAAACTTCTCAACTGCGAGGCTAGAAGGTCCTAGTGAGGCAATCTCCAAAGGCATCGAGAATACGGAAGTCCATCCAAGCGTCTGCAGGACGGGGAAATGGCGCGATCTTTCTGACGGCTTGTCCATCAAATCCGAAGTCTTTGTGAAGAAGAATGGGAACTCATCTTCGAACCCCGCGCCAGTGGCCGTCTCGAATATTGTGTATTCTTTTGATATAGTGTGGAAAAACGGATGCTCGCTCCCGTCGCCGGGATGCTTTTTCGATAGGACAGGATGGGGGTATTGCCCGCGCGGAAGCTGAATTGGAAATGAACGGTGTTGAAGGTGGCCACCCTATCAATGAGAGGAGTTGACTCTGGCTTGACATAAATACACCGGTTTCCATAGTGTTTTGCCTCTGACGTGGTGAAGACCGCATTGTCAACTTTGCCATGGATTTCATGAACATGAGGGGTGAGAGTCAAAATCAGATTCCCTATGGAATTTCCACGACATGCCACGCGAAACGTCTCGGCATCATCAGCAGGAAAACTCTCTCAACACGTCGTGACTTAGGCAGCATCTTGTTCCTTTCGGACATATTGGATCAGGCCACGGCGCGCTACTCATCGCCACAGGAGTCACACAACTTGACGTTATCATAATGCAACTGGCTAATGGTTAATGATCCCACTAGATGTTGGGTGTTCGAGATGACAAGAAGGGTACTGGGAAGGAAGTGAAATTTCGGAGGTATATAGGTGAGATTGCCTTTTTTCGACACAAGTGACGATAAGTGCTAACCAACCTTGCAAGGCTGGAACCCTAAGAAGATCCCGCCGACATCAGAGTTACAAGTCGGAGGGCAGGTGATAGCGGCGCTTTACTCTGGAACAGATCCAGATTTCAAAGTGTACAATCAGGTGCTCCACAACGGCTGCCGCATATTCGTCCTGCTAGGCCCCCCGTTGCCACCCGCTTTTTTTTTCTTTCCAACAAGTGCTCTAAGATATCTGATTTGGAAACTAGCGCCTGTCTGATATACACGAACGTCGCCCAATCAAATATTGTCTCCGGGACAGACATATTCCTATCGGTGCTTAGGACATTGTCTCAACACAACGATCCAGACACCCAGGTGACATGCAGATGAAAGTACAACAAGTCTTCACTGGAAAAAGGTCTCAGCCTGTACAATATCAGTGCCAGACTGCCGATGCCCCCTTCAACTATAGCAATACTAAATGGATTTTCTCACCATCGGACTCGAACGGACTTGATATCTCACTGTCAAGGGCATGAATGACACCGAACCTCCCGAGGTCGGGTTCGGCGGATCGGCCTCGAAGATTCGAGTTTTGCTTTGTTTACTTACCTAATGACCCTCTCACCGAGGCTCGCGCCTGAAGAAGGAGCGTGCTCGTGATTCACCGCTACGCACCGATACTTCGAGGGCTTTCACTCATGACCGCCATTGCGAGCTTTCACCACCGCCGCCACCAACGACCGCCTCCGGACCCGCCCAACCGCAGGGTCGTACGCTCTACATATAAACCCCTCTCACCTACTGCTCATTTTTCTTTTCCCTCAACCCCACTCAACCAGGCGGTTCTCAACTCCCTCTCAAGAACGCGCTCTTCGACTTCTAGTCCGCCATTTCGCACAGCCTACACCCTATCTCTACCCCACTACCTCGCACAACCTCCAACCCACAACTCTTATCAACTCTTCTCAACTCAACATCCTCCATCATGTCTGAGGCGAAGAATGACGAGGCTCCTCCTTGCCCGAACCATTACATCCACAAGTACGCCTTCCAGGAGCTCGCCCTGGCCGACAAGAAGGGCTCCAATGAGCAGCCTTACTTCCGCGCCTCGGTCTTCTTCTCCAAGAAGCCCGGTCTGACTGACGAATTCTTCCATGACCACTGGAAGAGCATTCACGCCGACTTGGTGATGCAGACAAAGAACACGGGTATCCACTTGCTCCGTTACTCTCAAGTAAGTTCAAACACTCACATATATGCACAGCAAGCTAACAGATACCAGTTCCATATGGAGCAGAAGCACCGCGACGAGATCCAGCCTCTCCTGGACGCCAGCCAGGGCCCGATGCAGCTTGTCCCATGGGACGGATGCGCAGAGTTCCTCGCGAAGGATGCCGAGTCGTTCATCAAGTTCATGAATGATGTCTACAACTCCAACCATCTGATGAGTAAGTGCATTCAATTCAACAATCTCATGGTCATCGACTGACGAATAACAGGCTGCGGGAAGCGCTTTGTTGATCTCACCAAAGGCTACCAGATCATGTGTGGATATGACAACATCATCTACGGCGCAGGTATCCCAGGTGTCGGCACCGATGGCATCCTTCCTGGCGACTCCCGTCTGACGTACGATGAGGGTGTTGCCCCAGTGCCAGCTCTCCAGAGCAAGGCAGGCTGCTGTGCTTCGAACGGGCAGGACAAACCCGCATCTCTTGGTAGCAAGACGACGTTCTTCGGCCTCGGCAAGAACTCTACAAACACCACGGCGCAGGAAGTTGGCTCCCAAGACGGGTCAGGACCCCTTCACCGCAAGAAGAACTTCCTGGACAGGCTCGGGCTTGGGGGACTATGTCGCCACTAGATGCGGGTGTGACTGCTGATTTCCTGGATGGGTTTGCCCATGGAAATGTACGCCAGGTATTGGCTCAGGATGAGCCACGAGTGACGTGTCATGAAGATTGTGACTTGGGCGCAAAAGACGGTTAGGATTCAAGAGGATGGCACATTTGTGGTGTGGCAAGGCTATCGGCGCGGCTTGCGGAGAAGGGTTTGTCTGGTTCCTTGATATCCTGTCGGCGTATATAATTTCCTTGTATTTTCAGCCAATCGAGGATCTCTCCTCTCTAACAATATATTGGTTCACTGAACGTCTTGCCCGATACCCTGCCACCTACCGACTTACAAACCTGCGTGGGACCTATGCGGTGACATTCTGGCCATCATGTTGTCGATTGAGAATGTTGGTGGCGTTAAAGTTTTCTTTGTTACGAAAGGCGAGAAGGCGCGGAAGAACGCGAGAAAAGCATGCGGATAGAGACCACGCGCGCGAAGTGGGATTCACCTGTTAGCCACCCAAAGGATCGAGTCATAGGATGTAAAGACGCGGGGTAGACACGAGTAAGTCGTTTACCTTTCTTCAACCTTTGTGCAAAAACGTTGCGAGGCAAATGTCATTAGCGGGGTGGCCTTGCCCAGTGCTCGCAGTACGTGAAAGAAACAGCCACGTGATCTGCCTTGAAGTGCGTCGAAAATAAGAAGTTCCTTGCGGGTCTGGAGCACTTGTGGAACTATGGAGGTCTATTATTGCTTTAATGCGTTAATAATTCTTGTTACCTCCTTCGAGAGTTACGGAGTAGGTTCACCCTCGCTTTGTGACACCACATCATCTTCCAATGTGACATTGTCTATGAGCAAGCAGAAATATATCCTGTTCCTAATGCTTATAGGTGCTACAAGAGACACGGATCCATTCGAGGTGGTACCTCACCAGTTCGAGTACCAAAAGCCCTGCCTTGGAGTCACCACCGTTGCAATCCAATCCGATGTATCCATAGTGTGAGATGTGGACTCCGAAATTCCCAGCTAGGAAGTTTATCCGCAAGGCAACAAACAAAGGCAAGCCTTACAATCTATCCCTTCATCGTTTAAAGAGTGAACGTTAGGATACAAGGCTCTGCACAGCCTTTGCACATGAGGTACCCTACCTGCATAAATGAAAATAGATGGCCTGGCCAATGGAAAATAGGTATCAGAATCGATCAGATTATCTGTTCCCAGAATACGCACGTACCTTAGCCGAAAGACTACAGAGACAGGAACAAGTATAAAAATAGGCATCAGTATTGCTGCACAGTAGAAGTCCCGAGGACTCCATATAAGAATATCCTGTCCTCCTGTTGGGTAGAACAAACATACAGGACAATCAAGCACGAAAACGCAACCATGCGCACGCTCAGTTCGCTCCTCCTCGGCCAGGTTGGACTCACGATCGCTCTGCCATATTCCCTCGAAGAAGCACCCAAGCCCACACTAGGCGTGTTCAGCTACTCCGGGAGTGGCTGTCCCCAGGGCTCCGTGAGCTTCACAACCGGACTCAGTACGACCAACCCCGCGGGCAACTACACCCTAACATTTGGTCTCGACGCATTCATTGTGTATTACGGCCCTGGAACCGCGCCTGTGGATAGGTCGAAATCGTGCGCTATTGAGGTAGGTTTGAGCGTGCCAGAGGGATGGAAGCTTAGGGTGAATGCCGGTGGGACCCTTGTCCATGGACTTGCGAATTTAGATTCCGGGACGCAGGAGACGTTCTTGGCGCAGTATCTTATCGAACCGGGAGAGAGCTCGGCGGCGGTGAGTATCCAGTGATTGGCTGGTGGTAGTGGACACTGACATGTAGAAAGTCAATTGGGAGGGTAACAATCAAAGGTCCGATCAACAACAGCGTGATCACAAAGACAGCGGAGAGCACCGACGGGGGATACACGAGTGCATGTGGAGGGGGCAAAGTGCATGCAAATTTCAGGCACTCGATCACTACAGATAACTCGCGGAATGGGCCAGGTTGGGAGACTGATGAGCTACCGTGGACATTGCAGACCGGCTTGGAGGTGCTGAAATGTTGAGAAATGCTGCCTTTTGGCTCCGTTTTCGAGCTCACGTGGAAGGACTATTGCTTCTCTTCGGTTTCACCCCTGCTCCTGGTCTTCATCTTCATCATGCTCTGCCTCATCATCAGTCTCTTCGCCATCATCTTCCTCGTCGTCTTCCACATCCGAGATCTCTTCGCCAAGCTCCTTGAGTCGTTTCTGGGACATGTTAGCGCCATAAAATGGGGGTAACAGGTGATATCAAGTACCTTATCCCTGGACCTCTTCTCTTCCAGCTCTCCAAGGAGAACAAAAAGATCATCCAGTTCTGTTTGCGCCGCTGCACGCGCTTCCTCCTTCTCCTTTGCAATTGCCTCAGCCTTACGTTGCTTGTCCTCGGCATCTTTGACTTTCCAGGTAAGGTCCTGATTTTTCGCCTTGAGATCCTGCACCTCCGCCTTCAGCTTGTCAACGATACCCTGAAGCTTCTCTTTCTCATCCTCCAGTTGCTTGATGTGCATTTCGTTGGCATGTACGTTGGTTTGCAGACTATTAACCGTTTGTTGGATGGATGCGACTTCCACTTTCGCCATGCGATGCTGCTCTTCCAGTGCCCGCACATTGTCGAAGGCCTCTTGTCTGCTGGCATGAGCGGCGCTCAGGCGCTGTTCGACGTCTATGCGGGCCTTGGTTGCTTCGTGAAGCTTCTCATCGTATTCCTGCTTCGCTTTGGCAAGGGCCAAGGTCTTTTCCTTCTCTGCTTGCTGCACTTTATTGTTCAAGGCAGCAACCTGGAGATTGTGCCGATTCTCGATATCCAGGATCGTTTGCTTGTGCTCCCGCTCTACCTTCCTCAATTCTTTCTCATGATTTGTGTGGAGATCTTCATTGATGCGCTTAATAGTGTTCAATTGGGTAAGCGAGGATTCTTGGGTTTTGCGGTGGTCCGCTTGTTCTTGGTTCAGCCGTTGTTCCATACTCAAAAGATCGGACTGTAACTTCTCCAATGCCTGTACCTTCTCGTCGATCTGATTGCGCAACGAATCGACGAGATCGCGGTCGATGCCTTCGTGTGATTGGTGCATCTCCAGGCCAGGATCTCTGTCGATTGCGCGAGACAGCCGGCTGAAATTGTCCTTCAGGAAGTCTACGAAACTCTCATCAAGGAAGACCTCTGGTGGTGTGCTCGAGGTTCCTCTCTCTAAAGAGAGCACTTCGAAATCACGGACCAGTGGGTGCTGTCTCAGCTGGGAAATTGCATCTAGGTACTTCTCCCGACCCAGGCTGTGGCATAAAATTGGCTGCAAATCCCGCCGAGGTACAGGGGAGTCTTTGGTCGAAAACTCATAGATGATGCCGAGTAGGGCGGCGCAAAGACCTCTCACCACGATATGGTCAGCTCCTGGCTTGTGTGCATAGTGTACAAGGCTGTGTATACTGCTCGCTTCTCCGAGAAAGTCATCAACGGCTGCAGCATCTTCGAACAGCCACCCGCATAGTAGCATCAAATAGGCGATCGGGATTCGCTCGTCTTCGCCTAGTTGCAAATTGGAAATCAAGTTGGCTGTCAAAGTTTGAATGCAGGTTACCACCTCTTCTCCCCGATCAGCATCCCCTTCTGCGACCGCCATCAAGCGCCTCTTCGCGTCCAGGTCGTCAAAAATGAGATGGAACACGAGCGTAGCAGCGAACCATATCCGGTATGGATCGCTCGTTGAAGAACCATGGGAACCAGCCAGTAACGTCGTAAGGACGTTTGCAGTCTCGTCCTGGCCAGATGTATGGCCATCGATCGCTCGATTGAGGAAATGTGTCCGAATTTGGAGGTGATTGAAGAAATACGCCTTTATGCATTCGCATGCCGCAAAACGAACGTCAAACGACTCATTTGCTGTTGGTCGGATGGCAATATCGAGCAATGCCTCAATCACATACACCATCGGGGGACCATTTGGTGATGTGGCATCGTTAGCAGCAGGATCAAGTATGGGGCGGACTTGCAGAGGCGCAAATTCTTCCTGGAGACGGGCATTGCCCCTGATCATATCGGCGCACGTGTTCAATGCCTACAAATGTAAGTCATGTGTCCCTACGCATGGAAAATGGCGGAGTGACGAACCTCTACTCTTATAGGGACCGCCGTCGAGGGGTCGAATGCCATGTTGAGGATTTGACGAAGGAGACCTTGACCCGCGAAAGCAGCTTGATTCGCCTTGGTGCTCGTGCTGCCTTTGACAAGAAACATGCGGACGATGGCGAGAAGACCCCATATATTCTTCTCGCATTGCGGACTGACCCAGTCATCCTCCCCTTCCTCATTCGTGGGCAGCTTCTTTGCCTTCTTTGCTCCGGGTAGAAGCGCCGCGCATCTCGAAACACAACCAGTCTCTCGGAAAGCCGTCTGATTTGAGGCATTGAAGCGAACCAGATTGGCTAGCAAGGAGAGGCAGTCCTGGACAACGATACCCCCTTGAGTCAAGGAACCATCAGCCTCTATGAGGTTGAATATTCTTTCGAATGCATTTTCAAAAACAAAAAGCTTCTGGAGCTCGGTAGAAGTCTGAGACAAATCATTCAGTAGGACGAGGCCAGCGTTCCGCACAGCATCCCTGGGATCGTCCAGGATCGCTACGAGTCGAGTTGTGCCGAGCGGAGCTGTGAGAACACATTCCTGAGTGCGTTCGGGCCGCGCGTTGAAGATTGCTTGAATGAGTTGCAAGGAGTAAAGGCGTGAATAAAAGTCAGGGGTCTCGAGGAGGTCGAGCAGAATGGTTATGTTATCTTGCCGCTAATATAAGCTCAGTACAAAGGTGAATGAGTGTTGTTATTAAACAAACCTGGGTGAACTCGTCCGCTAGCCAGAGCGCAATCTCATCTGAAGCTTCAGGCTGCCGATTGGTTAGCGGGTTTACATGTAGGGAGCAAGAAGTGCTCACGCTGTGTTCATTGGGGTTGAAAAGCATGAGCAGAGTCTCTAGGACAACTTTAATGGTATCTACATCCTCGGCATCCTTGGTGAGACACGCTATGAGTCCCCGTAGCGAACCCGATGCAACAGACGCAGGGTACTCTTTCGCAAAGCTCCGCAAGCCCAAGATAGCAGCACGTCGGTCCTCCAAGAGAGTAGCGCTGGAAAGTCTGCTACTCAGTGTACTAATAGTATCGGTGGCAGTCTGTTTGGCCGGGGCCTGGGCCTCCAACATTCGCATCATTTTGGGAGAGATAGACTCTGGCAATTGGGTCACGGAATCATGGCGCCGCAAAGATGTTCGTAGGCGTGGAGGGCGGAGGCCGGTGTATGTCTGAGGGAGCACGGCACATTCGTGGTCGCGGGCATTCACAAGATTACGGCATTGGGAGCGGCGGGCGAGAATCCATGCGGCTGGTGGAGTTGGTGTATTCAGCGACAAAAAGGTACACGTTGTACATTGACGTCTCCAGGGCTGGTGGATTGATGGCCTGCGCGGATTAACCTTGCACCGGCGCTAATGCGCCCCGGTCTTGGCGCCAGAGTTTCTGTCCGCTTCGGTGTTTTCATCTCGACATTGAATTCACCATTTAACTCAACGACTCCAACATTCGCACTGTTGCTCTCCAGGTGCCTGAGTGCATGGCATCAGCTGCATATACAAGGTGCTTCCGGGCGCTTTCCTAATCTTCGCTCGTTCATGACCTAAGCAGCGACACGACCAAATTCGCCATCCGAAGCTGCGACAGGAGGGCAGTCACCTACTGGCGAAACTCTCCCTCCTAGCCTCCTAGCAAAGAAACAGCGCCTTTCAAAATCAGTTGCATCCAGTCCTCGGTGTCTCTGTCTTGCTTGCGCTCACTCCTCGCATCCCGCCCTCTCCACCGTAGCCACCGCAGACGCGAAACGTGGTAGCCCGATCTCACCCCTCACCTCAATACCGTCCCTCTTTCGCTTCCGTACGCTGTGATCCACCGCGACCATGGGTGTACCGGCTATGTTTCGCTGGCTTAGCCAGAAATACCCCAAGATAATATCGACAGTTGCAGAGGAAGTCCCCAAGGAAATCAACGGCAACAAGGTGCCTGTTGATCGCACAAAGCCCAACCCCAACGGTGTCGAATTCGACAACTTGTACCTGGACATGAACGGCATCGTCCATCCTTGTTCACATCCGGAGGACAAGCCGGCGCCCAAGACGGAGGCTGACATGATGGTAGCCGTCTTTGAGTATACAGACCGCGTGGTTGGCATGGTGCGCCCGCGTAAGCTCTTGTATCTTGCTGTTGATGGTGTTGCGCCCCGTGCCAAAATGAATCAACAGCGTTCCCGCCGATTTCGTTCCGCCAAAGAAGCCAAGGAGAAAGACGAGGATCAGGCAGAGTTTCTGAAACTAATGAACTCCCAGAAGGTCAGCAGGGGCGAGGAAATCACGTCCTTGGACGAAGTCGTAGCGAAGACATGGGACTCAAATGTTATTACGCCCGGGACCCCTTTCATGCATCTGCTCGCCGAGAGTCTCCAGTATTGGTGCGCGTACAAATTTACCACGGATCCGTCGTGGCGAGATATGAAAGTCATCATCTCTGATGCGTCTGTCCCCGGTGAAGGCGAGCACAAGATTATGAACTTTATTCGCTCACAGCGCGCCATGCCTACTCACGATCCTAATACACGCCACGTGATTTACGGGCTCGACGCCGATCTCATTATGCTAGGATTGGCTACCCATGAGCCGCACTTTCGAGTCCTGCGAGAGGATGTCTTTTACGACTCCGGGAAGGATAAGACTTGTACACGCTGTGGGCGTAAGGGCCACATCCAGGCCAACTGCTCTTTCCCCGATACCGGTGCCAAACTTACCGAAGAGGAAGCGCAAGCAGAATGGAACGCAACCGAACACCCGCCAAAACCATTTATTTGGCTCCATGTCAACGTATTGCGTGAGTACTTGGCAGTTGAAATGGATTCGCCACGGCGCACCTTCAAATATGATCTCGAGCGCGCTCTGGATGACTGGGTGTTTATGTGTTTCTTCGTCGGAAACGATTTTCTTCCCCATCTCCCAAGTCTTGAGATTCGCGACCAAGGAATCGACACGCTTATTGGCATCTGGCGCGACCTGGTGCCCGAGATGACGGACTATGTGACCAAGGATGGCTACCCGGACATGAAGCGCGTGCAACAGATATTGAAAGCCCTTGCTAGTAAGGAAGCTGATATCTTCAGAAAGCGAAAGGAAGTCTCGGACCGTCAGGCCGCTAACAGAGCCCGGCGCGAAGCCCAACGGAACGGTGGAGGTCGCGGTGGCCGTGATGGCAACGGACCCCCTTTCAAGCGCGTGAAGGAAAACACCGACACATACATGAATGCAGGCGTTGCCTTCTTCGCGCCGCAAGATGCCCAATCCAACGAGGTCCGCAACTTGCATCAGAGCATGATGGCGAATCGAACCGAGTCGAACAAGTCGGCTGCCGCAAAGTTGAAGGAGCTCATGAAAGCGAAAGCAGATGGAGATAGCGCTGAGGGTTCCAGGGAGAAAGACTCCCAATCGGATCCGGCTGCACACACTTTGTTGGGCAAACGTAAAGCCGAGCTTATGGAAGAGTCGGATAACGCCACGCCAGCTCAGAGCAACCCAGGCACACCATCCACACCGGCTACGCCAGCCGCGAAGGATAACGAGCCACCGGAGGACACTGTCAAGCTCTGGGAGCCAGGGTACGAAGAACGTTACTATGCGCAAAAGTTCAATGTCGCGCCTGATAACATTGAATTTCGCCACAAGGTCGCCCGAGAGTATGCCAAAGGTCTTTGCTGGGTGCTGGCCTACTATATGCAGGGATGCCCGTCGTGGACATGGTACTACCCCTATCACTATGCTCCGTTCGCTGCCGATTTTGAGGGTATCGAAGATGTCGACCCTCGAGACTTCTCTCTGGGAAAGCCATTCAAGCCTTACGAGCAACTCATGGGTGTGCTTCCGGCTGCTTCAAATCACGCCATACCGGAACCCTTCCGTGTACTCATGTCGGATCCCAACTCTCCTATTGTCGACTTCTACCCGGAGGACTTCCCAATCGATCTCAACGGCAAGAAGTTCGCATGGCAAGGTGTTGCCATTCTGCCCTTCATCGATGAAAAACGCCTTTTAGCCGCTATGAAGGAAAAATATCCGGAACTCTCGGAAGACGAGCACAGACGCAATGAAACTGGGAAGGAGACGATCATGTTCTCGCAGGAACATGCGTTGTTCGACATTGTTAACACGCTCATCTACCGTCAGAAAGGGGCGAAGAAGGTGGAGATTGATCCCAAGAAGAGCGGTCGTCTACATGGTCACCTCGAAGTACACGATGAGTTTGTCGTGGACAGTTCGTTGATACCGCCGTTCGATGCCACTAGCACAGACTTGAAGGAGGAAGAGCTGCAAGACCGTTCTGTTCGGTAAGTGCTCGCTGTTTTCTGTGAAGCGTGAATCTAATCCGGCCGTCCTAGGATGTACTACGAGATGCCTCGGTTGTCCTCGAAGACCGCACACAAGTCTAAACTCTTGGATGGCGTTCGCTTATCACCGCCGGCGCTCACCGAGCAGGACAAGTCGTTCATAAGGAGCGGACGAGGCCGTGGTGGTGGTCGTGGAGGATTCAACGGCAACGGTAGTGGACGGGGTGGACCCGGAGGACGAGGCGGATTCGACGGCGGTCGTGGCGGCAGTGGCGGTGATCGTGCATCAAATGGCCCGCCGTCATTTGTTCCGCCACCGTTTGTACCACCAGGCTTCCCTCCAGGAGTCCCGCTTCCCGCTGGATTCGCTCCGCCTGGGTTTCCATCTCCATTCCCGATGCCAACTGGTCGCGGTTTCCCAGCGCCTCCGCCGGGCTGGGTTCCGCCGCCACCTCCTGGTTGGAACAGCATGCAACAACAGCAATATCCACCCCAGCAGCGTCCAAGTTGGTTCCATCACCAGGGCCCTCCACCACCCCAAGGTGGATACAGCGCCTCTCAAAACCCTTCACACCACCGGCCCGCACAGCAAGGATTTGACCACAGGCCCCAGAGCGGTGATAATTTCAGGTCCGCGAACAACTATCGCGGTAACGAAAGAAGCTACGGCCGTGACCGAGGATATAACCGCTTTTGATGCTCAACCGCTACAGCAAACGGTGCTTGTCCGGCCTCTTAAGTTGTGCAAGGACAAAAGTGGGTCAATTCTATGAATTGCGTGGAAGCCGATTGTTCCATACACTGAAGCCGTCTGTCTGTATTCGGCTTCCCTATGCTTGGAGAGATCTGGTTCGGCTCCTTGTGGTTACTATGTACGTATATCGTGGGACTGGGGCTAGGTTATGCATATGAGGATGTGGGCGCAAGGTGTTTCGGATCCGATTCTAGACGTTACCTTCGATCCATATGGAATGGCTGTCTTAAGTAAATGTACAATGATTGTTCTCCTTGAAGAAATACTGCGCAAGTGCCCTGGCGATGATTTTCCCGTGAACACTCTCATTATTGCGCCGTGACTCGTGGAGCCAACAAGCTGGCGAGCGGATGGAGAAGTCTTGCGGGACATTACTAGGGAATGTCGGCTACGGACTTTTGAATCCATGCAGCTCTCGTAAATGCCGGAGAAACTCCCACTGGATCCATCCCCCACGCGGGTAGCGGAATATTTGCACCGGATGTGGTACCAGCTCGCGACCTTCCAAAAAGACGCAATGCCCGCTGCAATCGAGAACTCTGGACTACCGGTGCCTATGTCACACGCCTACCATCTAGTCTATCCGTCCCGAGATGCCGGTGTACATATATACAAGTATGAACAGAGTATTTCCCAAAGCGGTTAGTACTTCTCTGAACAGACAGCCTCGGGATCTGGGGTTGGCTGATGATCGCGAACCAACCAACTTCCCAGGTTATTAGTCACCCAACTACTACACAGGATGTACCTAAGATTCCCAGCCTTGCCAGCAGGTTTTCTGCGCTTTACTCCCGCTGTGGCGCACTCCCAAGAGATGCAAGAACGGCGCTTGCAGGAGCCATGTGCGAATAGCGACTCGTTATTCTTATTATTGCCCCCTCGATGAGGCCTTCACCCCATGGGGAAGTGCCCGGCGAGTGTCTTGGACTGGGTTGTCCTCGTGGCTTTGCGGCAGGGGTGGACTATGACTATGTATGAGCTGGGCAGCGGGTTGCGACATTTTGGGGATGGGTAGGCCGGAGTTGGGACAGAGTTGGGACCTGACGATACGAGGCGGTGGAGAGGAGAGGGGTGAAGCCATCGGCGCTTAGGTGAGAGAAGGGGAACGTGCTACTCGGGATCGGGTTTGCTGAGTGAGAGAGGACGTGGGGAAGGAATATAAAGAGGGCGTGGGATACTGGTCTTTTAGAAGCAGCTCGGGCAAGGAAGAGTGGACTTGAGCTCAGTTCCCGGTGTCGGTCTCTGTTGCGGATACCGAACCTTTCTGACAAAGTCTAGTATCTACCCCGACTTATCAGCAATGGCGCCCTTGACCAGGTTCACTTGGAGGTTGTGCTTCGTGGTACTTAGCTGGGTGGGCGTGGTGAGCGCGAGTCCAATTGCTCTGGAAAGCAGAGGTACGTTGAGACAACCAATGATTCGCTCAAGGCCTATGTTTTCCCAACCCATTACGGCTCCGTCGAGAATGCGCAACTGAATCCAGGAACATGTATTCCGTCATTGGCGATTGGTCGCCGAGTCCCTAGTACACCAGAAACTGACATAAGACAGCAATCTCCGGCGCGTTACTGGACCAGCTGCAGTTCTTTTCCCAGTACAGTGCAGCAGCCTACTGCTTGGGAAACAACAACAGCCCGAATACGAAGATCACTTGTCCGCAGGGTAACTGTGCTCGGGTGGAGGCTGCGAATACGAACACCCTCACCGAGTTCGAGAAGTGGGCCTCCAATCCTTTCCTATCATATCCCAGAATACATTTGCGATAGCAAAGTCGTGCCAAACTCCGACTCCACCTATGTGGAGCGGTCGTACTCCGTAGCTCAGTTACACAAAAATAGCGGCTAACATGTACCAGCACCCTCCAAACCGACGCAACGGGTTTCGTTGCCACCGACACCACAAACTCCCTCATCGTCATCTCTTTCCGTGGCTCTCGCTCCGTCCGCAACTGGCTTACCAACGTCCAATTCCCCGGCCGGTCCACCACCATCTGCAGTGACTGCGATGCCGCGACCGGCTTCTGGAACTCCTATCTCGAGGCCCAGCAACTCGTCCTGAATGCCGTCAACACGGCTCGCTCTCGCTACCCTACCTTCAAGGTTGTAGCTGTGGGTCATTCCCTCGGCGGTGCCCTCGCCAGCTTGGCCGCTGCAGACTTGAGGAGCAGGGGAATCAAGGTCGACCTTGTACGCTCCTTTTCTTTCTATGCTTGACAGTTCCACTCTTGCTAAACGAATGCCCAGTACACCTACGGCGCTCCCAAGGTAGGATTCTCAAGTCTCGCCAACTACCTCACCTCGACTGCAAATGGAAACACCTACCGCGTGACGCACAAGAACGACCCTGTTCCGCGTCTGCCCCCGGCCCTGCTCGGCTACAGGCACAGCTCGCCCGAGTACTACATCTCCAGCGGGAACGACGTCCCTGTCACTAAGAACGACGTCAACGTGTACACGGGGCTGCTGAATTTGGGAGGAAATGAGGGAGACATTGGCTTCGACGTCGACGCTCATCTTGACTATTTTGGTCATATCAGTGCCTGTGAGGGGCAGGAGGGAATTGAGGTCAAGAGGGGCGTGGAAGGGGAATTCACCTCTCACGTAGTGTGAGTCATTATGAGGCCAAACTAGTCTTACGAGTTTTATGAAATGAATAATGACCATGACGATACGAACCATTGTACCTATTCATCCACGTGTTCTTGTTTCCTGCATCCTGACCGATACAGCCAGCAGTCTATTCAGCATAATAGGCACTCGTACTCAATCTTATCATCGGGCTATTGGCCATGCTGTTCCAATGATGCATGAAGAACGTCTCAACTTTTGATATCTGCACGTCTTCCTTTCGCGCCTGATAGTGTTCCCGGCGTACCCAAACAGGGCCTTGATGAACGTATATGGAAAAGAAGTTGCAGATTCACGAGACATATTGAAAACTAAAGTCATACCTGCTCATGGTAACCTGATCATTCGGTTTCAATTGACGTTGAATTTCCGTCACACGCTCAGAGGACCACAATGCGATCCGCCCATGTTGGGCAAGGGGTGTGCGAAGTCAGGATAGCCCCCTTTAAGGCAAAGAACATTTGGTGTAGAACTCCTATTTGCTTGTATGAGAAATTGGTAGACAAGCCAAAGCTCCAGTATCGCAAATGCGACAATGCCCCTGCAGGCCATGACCCAATTGTGTATGCCTTCCACCTTACGCACCAACCAGCCGGCAAGAATCAACCAGTGCGATTATCTCTGATCTAAAGTTTGAAGGCGCTATAGCAATGGTGGAGATGATGCAGATTGTTTTGCTGTGAGGCTCTCGTTATCCTCCAGCTATTCCAGCTGATGTTGCACGTCTTATCGCCGGTCTGCAACTGCCATATTGTCTGGTGGAAATGAAAACCCATCGGCAGGAAGCAACCGGAGGCCAGGTAGCTGCTATTAATCCATGATGTTTGTCAGCGTGCCTGTTCGGGCTCTTTTCGTCGCACCATCTTGCAACAGTCCCCATTCGCCTCTCCAGTGGAACACACCTTCGGCAAGGTCCGCCACCATGAATCACAATCTTTCACTGTCGATAATAGCATCATCATAATATCCAGACTTATTCATATCATTTGACGGGCAGGATTAGCAGTCATACGACGTGCTACAGTAAGTCCGGGTATCTACGCAGGCGTCAATTGTTAACAAGTGCACAGTGCCACGTCGTGCTGCCACCTCGTAGCTGCCCCGCGGTAACAACATCTGGACCCAACATTATGTCGTTCCAATTTCCAGATGCGCCGAGTAGAGCAGTCATTGACGATTATATATGGGCGAATCACATTCTGAAGAGTCATGGCGTATTAGATCCGCGGGGATACCTTTCAATTCGTCACCCAAATGACCCGACGAGATTCTTTATGGCATCCGCGACAGAACCTTCCGCCCAGTTCTCGTTATAACCGGAACCTTTGCTTTATACGATATCTCTTCAAGAGAAACTCTGGGATCCATGGACCTGGCATTCTGTTCCAGAATGGTACATTCACGGTATGATATACCACCTGTATCCGAAGATGCGGGCCATAGTGCACTCCCACTCAACCCTTGCGAGTTCGTTTACGGCTACAAAGAAGCAAATCCCAATCCGACCTGTTTTGAACGAGGCATATTTTCTGGGGACAACGGAACCCCCAATCTTCCAATGGCTCAACCCATTGCAGAGAGAAGAAACAGCCGGAACCCCTAGAAGTCTACATTCCAACATCGCTCAATACATGGCCACTCTCTTTCTGCACCCCGAGGCTCGCGAAACGGTCCTCCAGAAGATTAACGAACCTCACCCAACATCGATGTCATACCACACCAGAAGGGAGCTCCTTACCATCAACCCCGTCGTGCTTGTACAAGGGGAGGGCTTTTTTTGCACAGCCAAAACTCTAGAGGAAGTCGTGTCCAGAGCAGTGTACACTCAGAAGAACTTCGTCGCCTTAAAGGACGCAATCGCTCTCGCTGGAGGAGATCACACAAGAGTAAAGTTTCTCAGCAAGCAAGAATGCAAAGCTGCCGCCCGATATCTGTCGCAGCTCAATCTTTCCAGATCTAGGGAGCGATTCTTGGCTTGGAAGGCGGCCGTGAGTGCTTTGCCGGATCTCTGGGGCCCTTTCTCAGTGGCCACGGTCGTCTTCCACCTCCGCCTCCAACAAGAAATAGGAAGTAGCAGAGTTTCGTCATCATGGCTACCAAATTTCACTGCGCCCTTGACGCCGTACGGTCATGAAGCGGAACTGGGCAGCTCGATCGAGACCTTGGAACAATACCCGAAGAGTGAGCCAGAAGACTGGTCGGAGACTCTGCAAGAGAATGTATACGAACTGGGAGCAGAGGCTCTAGGAGGCCCAAGCGTTGCTAGACAACCGGATATCCTGCCAGCAGCGAAATCATTGTCAAGCACTTGGATGACTGCCACAGACAGTCTTGATGGCTTAGGACAACGAAATCGTCAGCCCGACGGACTGCCAAATGGCTATCCACATGACATTTCCACTTCTGGATTAACAATGAACGAGGAAAATGTTAGGATACTGGACACAATGGAGGTTTCCCGGCTACCTAGTCGCCTTGCGGATCGGGTGAGTGTTCGACGACTGATAGACTGGTCGCGCAAACGCATTCTGTCTCGGATTCAGAGGGTCTGGAATTGAGTTAAAAACGTATAGGATCGTGCCGGCATTCAGTATTAATTCTCCTGGCAGGACTCGTTGGGGTCGTGAAGGCCATTCTCCTATCAAGCGGATGGGCTGATGAAGAACCATATCCTTCTCTGGCTTCTGGGATCGACGTATGATCAGTCTCCTGTTTATCTGAGTAAAGGTATCGTTCGTTCCTTTTCCAACGTGGTAGACCGCATTTAGACGTGCCAGTATTGCAAAACAGAATAAAGTAACCCCTTAGGCTGCAAAGATCTGGCGCCTGTTTCTAGGAAGACCAAACCAAAAGTCTTTGTGCCGTTAGCGTATTCAAGCTACGCATTCCGCAGGAAGACGAGACCTGCGGGTAGTATCTGTTCATTCTAATAAACTTCAAAGATTTGTTGTTTCTATGTGGGACCCTAGTGCCTCGCTCAACAGTGTGCATTCGTCCGTAATCCCTCTAACCACGACCAGATCGTTCACGCGAATGCATGGTCAACTTTCTCATAATCCGACTTCTTTGCTCTTTCCGTTTTTCACCCTTTATTCGGACGTGTCCGATCTCCTCGCCTGGGACAACAACCCGTCTTCGTCCGCAATGGAGAACCGGACGCTTTCAGGACAGGGCGAACAAGGCGTAAAATGCACCTGCACGAGTAATCGATCTAGTGACTCCGCTATACTCCTTCTGAGTTGGAAAGCAGTCGTGATTTCGCAAACTTATTAGGTTGCAGTAACAGTCTCGCTGCCGGACGAACACCGGGCGGAGTAGGTAACATGGTAAAACATGTCCATGCGCAGCGAATATTAGGCGATATATAAGCTAAAGATGATGCGCCTAACGCTCCCTTCAATAAATTCAGGAGGACCAAGAAAATCAATCTATTCCGTATTTTCATTTTGAATCCATTCGCAATGTCTTCAATAGTCGCAGTCGCAGGCGGATCCGGTGGTCTCGGTCGCGCGATCGTCCAAGGTTTGAAAGATGATGGGAGGTATACAACCCTGATCTTGGCGCGAAAGGCAAGGCTACAGTCCCATTTCTAGGCCCGAATACGAGCTCCTAGTTACTGATTCTCGGAAATATAGGCCAACGAGGAACTCGAGAAGGAAACCGGAGCCCGCGTCCTCGCAGCCGACTATTCCAGCGTCGAGGCGCTTATCAAACTCTTCGAAGAGAACAACATCGACACTGTGATATGTGTGGCTTCTTGGCACAACGTAGAGGGAATGTTCAATCTCATCAAAGCGGCGGATATCTCGAGGGCAACCCGGCGGTACATTACCAACAATTGGAGCGGAGTCAATTACCAGCTCCAGTACGTGAGCATAAGCGCACCACGGACGGAATTTGGCTCACCGTCTTTAGAAAACACGGCAACATCAACCCCCTTCTCACTGCGAAGTTACAGCAAGCAGAGGAGCTGAAGAAGACGACCTTGGAATGGACGGACATCGTCAACGGCATCTTCCTCGATTATTACGCCCCCGGGGTTACCACACATGTGCGGCGCTTTCCCCTCATTGTGGATGTCGACCATGATGTTGCCGTCATCCCAGGCGATGGGGAGATGACACAGTTCTTCACGCACACCACCGATATTGGGAAGTACATCGCTGCTTTGCTCAGTCTGGAGAAATGGGAGTGCAAGTATTACATCAAGGGCGACGCGTTGACGTGGAATCGACTACTGGCATTGGCTGAGCGCGCCAAAGGCGTCAAGTTTGACGTCACATATGACAGTGCGGAGAAGATCGAGAAGGGTGAGGTGACACTGGTTCGAGCTCACGTAGAGATCCTGAGCAAGGTTGGGATGGATGAAGCTATGCTTAAGAAATTCATGGAGACCGTCTTTAAGGCACTGATTGAGGGAAGAGGGGACTTCGGGCCCGGGAGTTATCTCAATGAGATCTTTCCGGAGATCGTCCCGCTGAAGACGGAGGAGGCACTTCAGCAGTCCTTCTCGAAATAGGAGTTATGCAGTACCTGTGTCTGGACTGGGTTTGGGGAGTGAGAGGAGTGACAAGCAGTTCGCTTGGAGGGGTTATGTTAGAGCTTGAAATGTCTTAGAGGATCCGGTTACTGACCTGCAAATGCATATCTTTGAGCATTCGACGCGAGAATCTTATAGGCCGCAGTACTTTTGATTTCCTCAATGCTGGCGTTGAGGTTCCTCTTGGCGTCCAGAACTTGGTAGGACGTCGTGATGAACCACGGGGGCAACTTTTCGATGTCAGGGAACCCAGAAAGTACGAGTGTGAAAATATCTTCAATACGAGAAACCCAGCGCGTAATTATGCTAGTAGCGCTGCCGTCAAGAGGGTCTTTCTCATTCAAAAACCATGAGTGGAGATGTAATGCGGAGCTGCAAGAACGAGTGTCAGTAGCTATTTGAGGTGATCAAGAGGACTGGGCCGTGGTACCTCAGCAACATGATCTTTGTGTTGTATGCGTAAGTCCGCTTGTGCTGCAGCTCTGCGTGTCTGAGCAGCTCGCCGATATCGTGTGAAATCAGATCAACTTCGTAGCAAAGATCACGTTCAGCCTCATAGGCATTGGCGCGGATAAGCTTATGCACTCTGGTGAGTCTCTCGGCTGCTTGGAGCTGCAAGAGAAAATGAGTCCTCCTCTCTACATCCAGATTCATTGGACGACCAGGGATCTCGTAATTTGTGTCCAAGACTCGGGTCATTGAATGAGTCTGATTGAAATAGCTATCGTGAATGACGGGGTGTCTGATGATATTGGTCGGCGGCATATGCAACACGCTACAAACATTGGAGTCTTAGAACAAGGCCAAAGCAGGAATGATCCATTTTTCGCCGAGCAAAACAACATACCTATCCATAAGTTGCAGACACCACCACGTATTGATTGCTTCTTCCGATTCCGCAGACAGGCCCTGCCAGTCACGGTGGACACTCTGGGACACTGTGTTCTCCAGAGCAATGGAATATGCCATCCTCGCTGCGACCCCCAAGGTCAGGGGAGCGGCATGCTGAATTCCCTGAGTATGTTCGAAAAGGGCAATTACGATACCAGCCTGTATTACACGAATGTCAACGACGGTAAAAGACACAGACATGCCAAAATAGTACTTGCACGCTCGGTACCAACGCGAGGTCGCAATGCTGTCAGATTTAGGATGCTCCCACGGAGGCGTAACGACAAGATGCATGGCGAGGGTGGTCAACAGGAAGCCGTGAGATGACTCGATGGTCGTCAAGAACTTGATCTCTTCAAAGAATTGCGCGCGGTTGATCATCGGTAGCCAGTGGTGTATGGTGTCGAAGTATCTCTTCGCAACGACTTCTGCGGAGGTCTTGCTTTCTGCCATAACCCGGAAGACGCTGCCAAAGTGAAGGAAACCGATGTGGGAGCGTGACAGCTCCCCTGGATCCAGAGTCCATTTATAGGGGATCTCTGTGCTCGGATTACGAGTCGATGCTGTGGGGTTCTCAGCAACCGCATCCTCCGTACGGCTCCCTTCCGACCTTCTGCAGTCGTTGTCCGGGAAGACGCGAGCTTCTATCCTTTCAAGTCGTCGGAAGACATCTTCGAACTTTGCATCAGTATTTTCGGGCTCAATGGATTCATCATGCTGGTAGGAACATGGGAGAGAGAGTCTGAATCCTTTTTGAATCAACGTCGACGTCCGAAGTAAGGCATTTGCGACTTGTCGGTGCTTCTCACCTCATGCACCGATCGCACTTTGGTTGCGTCTTGTCACATTTCTTTTTGCTCGACTTGCACTGCAAACAAGTTCGGCTCGCTTTACTAGGCAATGTAGATGTCATTAGAACCTGAGTGAAGAATGTTGTTGTTACGGAGCGCCTGCTGACCCAACCTTGGAACCTTGGAAGCAGGGAGAGTTGAGATGGAGCGCTAGTACGTTTCGGGAAGCAATCAGAGACACAACGTCCACGGGTCTAGGAGAAAACTGGTGAGCTCGAAGTTATTGCAACCCAGTTCCGGTAAGAAGTTGACCAGTCATAGGGAAGTATCAGGATCAGCCTTCAATCGCAGCTTTGGCTCTGTTTCATCAGCACGCCGTAGCGGAATCGCAATACACACACGGCACCGTGAGGCTGCTTCATGTTTTCATCCTTTTCCTGCGCCGACAGCTCAATCATGGCCAGGGAACGTCAAGTAAATTGCTGGTTTCCCACCTATTGTAGACAGGACAGGACTTGGTGGCAAGAAGCATCGGTCAGACATTAGGAAGGCCTTTCATGGGCATGCATGACTCCGCTGAACCAACCAATCGTGAAGAAAGCTGGTGAAAGGAGACTTGCGAATTTCTGTTGGATCGATCGTAAGTATGTTGATCGGGTTGAACCAAGCGAACAGGTGATGCTGCAGCAGTGAAGGAAGATGAGCGTGTCGGTTTGGGAGGCCGCGGTGATGAAGGCATAAAGGCGACACGCAAATAGATACCTATTGGAAATATTGGAACCTATTATTCACCTAGAGCTTTGTGGAGGAATTTTCTTAGCCACTTGCACTATATACAGTACCACAGTACACTATACCAATATCCAGGGTCCGTCCATCTGCATCAGGCATGGCCAGAACGGACGATGAGGTGGCCTTGCACAGCACAGCCACACTTGCGGCACGGTCGTCCGAACCTCTTCCCATAGATTAGACCAACCCACGCCGCTTCGGACATCCGCTCACCACCAACAAATCCGCCTGTCGCAGTATCTGCTCTCTGAAAATAACTACTGCTAGAAAGATATTTACTGGCTGACTGACTGCTTTACATCGCCGAGTATACTGCCAACACCCGCGCTGAACGACCTCCACAAATCCCGCAGTCATGTCCGACTTCAGCACCGCCATGACCAACAGGTCCCTACGGACTATCAAAACTGTAGGTTGACAGAACCTCTAGAAGCGTGTACATGTACCTTACTTACTTTTACGGTAGGAGCTAGAATTTCTCCTCGACGCGAACGTCATTACGAGCCAGCAGTTTGATACCATCACCAGCCAGCTTCCGCTCAATGCGGCGGCCGTCGCTCGTACACCGATACCTACTCCGTCCCCCCAGCCCCCTGTGCAACAGATGGCCAACGTAGCGATCAAGAAGGATTCCGAGCCGGAGAAGAAGGTGGGATATTACGCGCAGGATACTGTCGCGAATCCTCCGCCTCCCGCGTATCCTGTCGCTCCCACCGCTCCTATAGCCCCTCCGGTCCTCGCACACGCAACCGCCATGTACCAGTACAACGCACAAGATGCAGGCGATCTCGCCCTCATGCCCAACGACAGGATTACCGTCACAGAGTACATGAACAATGAGTGGTGGAAGGGCCGCAACGAGCGTACCGGCCAGGAAGGCATCTTCCCGGCTAGCTACGTACGCAAGGAGGAGCGCGCACCCGTCCCCATCCCTCCCCATGCCCCTGCGCCTAGCAACTACGGCAACATGCCCTTGGACGTCAGCAATGGCGCCGCAAGTGACTCCACTGGCAAGGCCCCGTCGAAAATGGAAGAGAACGGGAAGAAGTTTGGCAAGAAGCTCGGCAATGCAGCCATCTTCGGCGCCGGAGCGACTATTGGAGGCAAGATCGTGAACGGCATCTTCTAGTCTTTTTCATTTTTCGGAAGGTGTGACCCTCCGTAGCAACATCCCCAATAGCATTTAGGTGCTTGTTTGGCGATGTCAATCTTGTCACTTTCTCGGGTTTCTACGATATTTCCTTAGGTCAGCGTATCAGAGATACTGTTTGATTGGTGCGCTTCCCTTGCCTCGATTCCCTGGTATTTCGTCTTAACGATTTTCCCAGTCTTTTCCTTTCTTCACCAAACGAGTGGTTGTCGCTTATATTTTCCCTCTTATATATTTTGGCATGAGCGTGGACCGCTATGGGCTCTCTTAAAGTCAAATAAGTATCAGTTGTACGCCGCTTCCCGATGTCGCATATACCTCCCTTTGATGCTCTTGATGCCGACACGTCACATTCACGGACACGGTGAATTCCTATGGACCGTTTGATGCTATGAGCGTAGCAATGCTACTGCGAATAGAGCCAATAGAGTCCTGGATCTACTCACTTCTCTTCAGGCCACTATCCTGATCGTCCCCGAGGCCGCGCATGGACTGCAGATTTTAAATAACCGCTTCGTCTGTCCATACTATACGAGGAGGTCTAACTGTGAAGTTACCTGAACCTCTGAGACGCTGAGGGTCGGTGTTATGAGCAGTGCAACATGACAACAAGCGGCCAACGTACGAGACAAAGTGGGCTCAGCGGCTTGAGCGCACCAGATTCACTACTCGACTGCAACGTATATGCGTACTCGGAAACAGTCCAGAAGGTGTCAAGAATAGCGCGAAAGCAAACATATATCGCCCGAGCCCTTATCCTCTTCAACCTTTACGGTGTTCCCCTCAGCTATGGACCCTACCTGGAATATTACTACAACACCACGACGTACGGGAACACATCTCTTCTTTATATCTCCGCCCCGCAAGCCGCTCAGCTCCTCTGCATGTATGCCATTCCCCTTCCAATTGCATGGCTCTATCAGAAGGAATATTGGCGTGGAAGCGTCTACTGGAGCAGTACGAGCATCTGTATTTGCCAAATAATGCCGGTCTTCTGCAGGTCTTGGCTCCACTTACTAGTCGTGAGAGGAATTGTGCAAGGCATAGCATTGGGGACACTGGGCACAGTCTCGACGTTGTGCATGGCGTCGCATTACAGAAACAACATACCTCTGGCCTCCATGGTAGGATCTGCCTTCGGCTTTTTGGGCGCCCTAATTTACACGACGACCGCATATGTATTCCTGCCCAACTCTCGACACTCGAGTGCCTGCTATGCAAACCTTACCATCTCTGCCGCAACCTTGGGACTTGCAGTCTATCTCACGAAGAAAGACGCGCACTTCATCACTCTCAACAGCGTAAGTAGCAAAGCAAAACATCCACGCAGTGTCTTACCGTTCTCCAAGGACGCTGGTCTCTTCTTTCTAGGATTCGGGTTCCTCTCGTCCGGCATCTATGTTTATCCCACGTTCATCGTCCTCCTGCTCGCCAGTGCGCCAGGGCTTGTCCTTCCGGGAACAGCAACACTGCACCTCATGATCATGTTCGCAATCGCAGCCCCTTTCGCGGCCTTTGCAAGTTCGGCTTGGCTCCGCACTCGCCTGGGTGCTGTCAGTGCGTTTGTATGCGCTTCACTCGTTGCGGGAGTGTGTTACGTACTTCCAGCGTGGATGCCTTATGCCCATGTCTCGCTGGTTAGCACGCCTATCTACGGAGCATGCTTGGGGACCGCAGTAGCCCTGTATGTCAGAGTAATGTACACGGTCTCTACTTTCAAGGGTGATGGCAGCTTCGCTGCGCCGCATGCGCAGATGGGGCTTGTCTTAGCGGGTTCCGGACTGTTCGCCGCGGTAGTGATACTGGCTGTGGCGCTGGCGGTGGATTATGGAGAACAAGGTTTTCAATGGGCATTTACGGGGATTGCTGCTGTGGCGTTTGCGGGTGGGTGTTTGATGGGGTCGGGAAGAATGCTGGGAATGGGTTGGAGGTGTTTTCTCATTGTGTAGGGTGTACTGTGGTAGAGAGTGGTGTGTTTATGTGATTTGCGATTTCCTTGCTGCCTTCGACACTTCAGTCCTCTGTGCTACAGTCAGTCGTCAAATCATTGAAGTCCTACGAGCCTTTTCAGCAGGACTTCTTCGGCAAGGGTTATGGTAAGCGTATGAACTCCGGTCTCCACCACGGTGGGTCTCTCACAGCCAACTCACCGACGAAATATTATACTTTCCATCCTCAATTCTAGGCGCCAATATACTAGTAGTCTGTTCTCTGATATTGTATTTCTATTAAGCACGCGTTGCTTGAAAACATCCGGGTATATCAAATTTCAAACATTGTCAAAACGTGAACACGCTCCGCTTGGTGTAGTTGGTTTATCACGTTCGGCTGTAAAAGCAATTGTAACCGAAAGGTCCCTAGTTCGATTCTGGGAGCGGAGATCGTTTTTGCTCGCGAAGTGAATGGAGGGAGGTGTCGTCGTAGGGAGTCCATTTTTTTCATGTGTGGTGATGAGACCCAGGACGCGATGTGATTGGCGGACTTGGCAAGCGATCTGGAAATCTTTGGTCGGCGCTACATTTGGACTCCGACAGCGCTAGTCAGCAAGTGATCCACGTGGAAAGCACGTGGTGATCATCCATCTAATCCTACGCTGAAAGAAGTAGTCTACTCGAAACTGTTTGTTTCTTTGTCCGTATATGTCATACACGTAGGCGTACCAAGAATCCTCCCGTTGGCTGGGAGTTGCACCTCTGTAAGGACGTTGATTCGTTCCCGAAATAGCCTCTTTCTTTGCCGACCTCATCAATTCTAATCATCAGTATGGTTTGACCATCCACACCAGCAATTGCATGCTTCGCCCTAGAAACATACTGCGATATGTACAATCGACCTGCTATGCGCTCCTAATTAGTAAGTGCTGCTCACGACCCAGGCCTCGGATTACGGACTACGTTGCTGGTACCGAGCCACGAGCCCTGCTCCACATTGGGGGGTAAAGCCGATCTGCGCTTAGGGGATTTAAGAAAGCACTACCCGCCCGCGGAGCATGGCCCGACTTCTCTGGTCGCCACCACTTTTCACAGCGGTTCTTTGGGATGGAAGAGAGAATGAAGAGAGATGAGGAAGAAGGTGTGAAAGAGAAGGCGGATGAAACGGGAGTTGGGCATGGCCGTGGAGTGGGTATGGATGACAAAGAGGTGGAGAATGCGGCCGACTCGGGCGCAGAGGGGAATGGATTGCCATTCTCGAAGGCGAGATGCATTGCCCTTGTGTTGACGGTTACGGGTGCCTCAATCATAAATGTAGGGTATACTAACGTTATTGGAGCATTTGCTAATTGCTTTTTCTCTTAGACGTTAGGCGTGCAGGCCTCCGTTATCATTCTCCCCACCATCGGTAGAGCCCTTGACATCCCTGACAGCCGACAACAATGGATTCTATCAGCATACAATCTGACCTTTGGTTGCTTCCTCGTAGGCTTTCGTCCATGCTCCTAGACGCTTCGATTTTTGCGCCTAACCATCATACCAGTTATTATGGGGCCGGCTCGCAGACGTGTATGGCAAGCGGCTCATCTTCATATTAGGCTCCGCATGGATCACTATTGCCTCCATCATCGTACCCTTTATGCCGAATGAGATTAGCTTTGACATATTGCGTGGTTTCCAGGGACTCGGTGCTGCTGCTATGGTGCCGACTGCAATTGGTATCTTGGGAGTGACCTTTCGGCCTGGGAAGGCGAAGAATTATGCATTTGCATGCTATGGTGAGTTCATCATGCAGTCCATAGCGAATGATGTGACTGATGGATAGCAGGGGCTGGAGCTCCGCTCGGAGCGGTATTCGGGAACATCTTTGTAAGCCTCTTCATGTCCTCCAACCGTTGGCTGAAGCGGGACCTGACAAGAATGCAGGGCGGTGTATTGACACAATTCCTGGACTGGAAATGGGTCTTCTGGATCTTTGCCATGCTGGGCGGCATCATCACCATCGCAGGTATCTTCATCATTCCCCTCCCACCTGTGCAAACCGAATCCATCAGCATGCGCTATAACGTGGATTGGGTCGGTGGCACGCTCATCACTATCGGCATACTTGTCTTGCTCTTCGCGTTGACCGAAGGCAATGTCGTGGGTTGGGATACGCCCTGGGTGCCCACCCTCATTGCTGTTGCTCTCCTTATCATTGCAGCCTTCGTATTCTGGCAGCGATATCTCGAGAAAAAAGGGCAGAGGAAGCCGTTGATGAAAGTTTCGATCTTTAAGAGTGTTAGATTCTCGGCGGCGAACATAATCATGTTCTTGTTCTTTGCGTCGTTCAACAACTTCTTAATTACCGTCACTTACTGGTAAGTGCTTCGACTACCTTGTACGCACCCTTGACTGACTCGGCATCCTACAGGTTCCAAGAATACCAGGGCCTATCCGTCATCCAGACCACCATTCACTTCATCCCAACCGGAGTCACGGGAGGTAGCCATCACCCTGCTCCAATGTCTCCTACGCTTCACTAACCATCTTCCGCAGTAATCACCGCCTTCGTAACGGCGCAGCTCCTCTCCCGCGTCAGGGGCGACTTCATCCTCACCTTCGGCACCCTCGCCATTGGCATATCATCCTTGCTCGTTGCCCTGCCACTCCCAACCTCGACGTCCTACTGGGCCTACATCTTCCCGGCCATGGTCCTCAGCACCTGCGGCGCAGACACCCTGTACCCCACACTGACGCTCTTCACGGCGAAGAGTCTACCTCCCGAAGATCAAGCCCTCGGCGGCGCCCTTATCAATGCAGTAGGACAGGTTGGCCGAGCGATTGGCCTAGCGATCATGACGGCCGTGCAGACGGCTGTTATTGCGGAGAAGAAGGGGCTCAGTGTCGATGTGGTGGGTGGGGAAGGGTACAAGCTGGGGAAAGGGGATGAGGCGCTCAAGATTGGGCTACGGAGCGCAAGTTGGTTCAATGCTGGGATTGGAGTTGTGGCTGTCGCGGTGGTGTTGTTGTTTTTCCGGGGGGCGGGGAAGGTGGGTGGGAAGCATTGAGAGAGTTCTGCAGAAGAAGGACTTTTTGGTGCAGATTAGCAATTATCGTATAGACGTGTAACAGCACAATGAGCGATTAAGGCGCCGCGTAAGTGCAATACCCGGGTGGAATTGACTCGCAGCGGTTCCATTCAGACTCCGACGAGACTTGAATCTATTTCATCCGCTTGTTCATATGCAGCACGCTTACGGTTTGTAGACTTCTCCTAAAGGTGTGCGCCCCCTGCCACACATCGGATTCCAGGTCCATCTTCATCCCAGCGTTGCAAGAAGTCATTTCTGGGTAGATATATGGTTGAGTTTTCACCGAAGAATCACGGCCGGCACAGAACCCTAAAACTATGAAAGCCTCCGTAGCTGCCTTCTAAGACGGCCAAAAGCCGCTCATTGATGTCCAGCCTTCCTCTTTATGCGAAAACGTACCTTGTCCTTTGGCGGAAGCGTCCCTAAGCCGAAATGAGCCATATCCACATTTGGTTTCCAATGTGCCGGCATCATAATCTCCATGTCGAAACTGCGGGTTATCATCGCAAACGTAAGCAGCATTTGAGTTTTCGCAAAATGTCGCCCAGGACACATTCGCTCCCCGAGGCCGTAAGGGATCCATCTTCCTGACGGGCCCTCCATAGTATAGACTGGTGGCGAAGTGTCGGGTACAAGGAATCTCTTTCCCCAGAATTCTTCAATCGGGTGGGGTTCATCAGACGTTCCCGTGTTCCATAGATCTGGATTCATGTGCTCCGTGTAACTGCAAACTACCACCCTATCCCCTCTCGGAATCGTCCAGTTTCCAAATTGTTGTTCTCCGTGGGCTTCACGAATCATCATTATGGCCACGTATCTTCTCAAAGTCTCGCTATATACGGACTGGAGAAATGGTTGCCGAGTGAGTGAGTTACGGTCGAATTTGCCATGCACTTCCTTCATCGCGGCATTTCGAACCTCTGCCTGGGCTTCCCTGCGAAGGACGGGGTCTCGTAGCAGCTCAAAAATGAACCAGAACGTTGCCGGTACAACGTTGGTGTTCATGCTGTCCACCTTGTGAGCATACACGCTACAGTCTATAGGTCTGTAACTTACGCCCACAAAAGTGCAGTGTCGGTCGCAGCACAAGCGTGAGAGTCCCACTCAGGGAATTTTTGGAAAACCTCATTCCGCAGCCTCATACACTTGAGACCCCAATTAGGCTCCCAGTCTTTGTCGTCATCTTTCCCGTTGGATAGGTGGATTGCTGTCTCTCTCCAGTTCCTGATCGCTTCGATACATCTGTCCCTCGCGCGCGTAGTTTTTGCATTGAATATCTTTGGCAATCCTCGGACAAGACTGATGACATCCTCATCAAATCGCCAAAGATCCTTACCCAAGTCTGGACTATGTTGTAGCAATCGCGGCCCAAAAAAGGCGTCAACGGAGGTTTTGAAGAGCATGTCCTTGAGGAATGCATAGAGATCAGGCATCTCCGTCCATTCTTCGCCAATATGACTCTCCAGAATCCAAAATGAGAGGTTATTATCGAATCTATCGGTTAAGGCTGCGAGGCCGTCTCGTCCAATTACATCATGTGTGGCCTTATGCTTCATGCGGAGGAACCTACGCTCCGGTACAACAAGGCTGTTCGGGAAGGGCTTCCATCCAATGCCAGAATCATCACCACGAACCATGTCGATCACTTGTTTAGACATCCCAAGAACGTTCTTTAGGAACAATGAGTTCAAGGCAATGAAATCGAACGATTGCGGTTTGGATACGACAGTCCATATGTTGTGAGGGCCTCGAGCGAGCCAAAGGTTTGCTATAGGCGTTTTGAAGAGGGTTACAGGCTCTGAAGTAGGTGTACTATTTCATGGTTGGTTGAGGATACCGAACCACATACGGCTTTAACTTACACAATAATTGATGCAAGCTTCGACGGTTCATTGAGGAACAACAAGGAGTGGCCTATGAGTGGCAAAGCATGGGGTGCAACCGGTCGTGGGTTACGTGTAGTCTTCCAAAAAAACACCGTACTGAGCGAAATGAGGATGGTTAAGAGAACAAAGGGATTGAGAGCGATCTCAAAACACTTGGCCTCAAGTGTGGACCAAAGAGGCGCAATCGACCACGTGGCGCTCAAACTGTGCTGGAGATAAAGCGAGCACTTGGAAATGATACTCAATCAAAATGTCTGTCCCGCTGTTGTAGATTTGTGGTCGGCGTCTTCAGTGCTTTACCTCAATATACGCCAAGTATGCCATGCAGGTTTTGCATACTTTCTGCTGGTCAGGGGGAAAGCATTCAACCACTCACGACTTTAGGAACTTCATAAATATATTATCGAATGGTATGATATGGATTCTCGGCGCAACGACTCCGTTCTTTCTGCATTGAAATCGGCCAGAGGGATATTGAGGCACAGCTACATGCTCCAGGATGGTTACACAACATTCTGGTGGCGTTGCAATCCATGGATGGATCTGCTGGCGCTTAAGGTCTAATCGGACCCCAACGACTTCTGAATGAAATGCAATATAGTCACGGAGTCTTGGGCTGCATGTTGAACGGCGCAGCCAGGAGGTGCTGGCGGCAAGTACTCTCAGTGACATGACGTTTCTCTCAGCATGGTATAATAAGCCTTTCATGTGGGAAAGATCGCTCAAACAAAAACCTTCACACTAAACTCTTCACACCGAAGTGGGCGAAGCCATGTCTTTCTGGACTATACCCGCCTTAGTTGGTCGTACGGCATTTCTGGTGGGTTTCCTCAGAATTGGTCGCAGACGTAGCAACAACCTGACCCATCATAGTTAGTAAGCTGGATCGGAACGGTGATCGCAACTCTGTGTGTCATGGGTCGCCTATTCACACGATTCCGAGTCTTCCGACGGCTTCTCATCGATGACTACCTGGTCATTGTAGCCCTGGCAAGCAGCTTCGCCTATGCTGTTAAATGGCATATCCAAAGTGCAGGTCTCTGGACAGCAATTGCCCAACAAAATGGAAAACTCCCACTTGACCAGACGTACTTTGGAAATCTGCGAATATATATCAGGAGTCAAACGGGCGCTTTGATCTGCCAGGGCATTGGCTTGTGGTGTATCAAATTATCCTTCCTGTTGTTTTTCAAGACGCTCGGGAATCAACTGAAAGCACAAAGAGTTTTGTGGTGGACGGTGACAATCTTTGTCCTCCTCATGTTCCCTGTTTACATGAGCATGCCTCCGTGGCAATGCCATCGTGGCCTCAATAATCTCACGGATCTCATTGGTAAGAGGATTAATCAAGCACGGAACAATTTCTCACTCGACTCAGCCAGGTGCAATACCCAGAAGGTGTCTAACTTTACTATGAACGGACTGAGAGTTATAACCATAATAGATATCCTCACGGATGTGGCCAGTAAGTCTCCATCAACTTCGGACAGCCAATTTATCTGATAAGTATACCTAGTATTGGTGATTCCTTTCACTATTCTGTGGCAGGTGCGACTTTCTATGAGAAGAAAACTAGCCCTCGGCAGCTTATTTGCAATCACCTTGTTTGTGATACTCTGCGCGATTCTCCGGATGACGGTGGTAGAACACAGCGCAATCAATGGCCAGATGGACGTTACCTGGCTTTATCTATGGTACAAGATTGAGCTTGACACAGGTAGATAAACCGGTCAAATATGAAAACATAGCTAATAGAGGCACAGCGATCGTGGTGGCTTCTCTCGCCTCATTCCGGGCTTTATTCACATCAGGATCGAGCCGACTTCAGTATAGTTCTGAACCCAATCGCAACTTTGTTCGAACACCGTGGGGAAGCTCTAGCAACTGCACTGTGAAGAGTACATCGCAAAATACTATCGTTATGCGGACGGACTTCATCGCGCTGGAGACTCGATCAGGAGAGCCCACAGTTTAACGCGGACTGCACTTGATCAGACTGAGAACTTCGCGTCAATCATTCAATGAATATTGCGATTGTAGGAACTGCCATATGCGAACCACATGTCCGCCTCTCTCATGCCAATTGTGGATAGCCGGTGATATTCTCTTAGCGCTTGAATGTATAGAATGAAATGCGGTGCGACACAACACCATCCCAGTTTACATTGATTGATCATATGGAACGGCACGATCCATAGTTCCCGCTCTGTACCCGGATAAGCGAGCATTGTTGGCTACGAACTGTGACCCTGGGGATGGAGCAAAGAGCGCATACTGGCTGGACACAGCTTCGGCTAGGTACCTATGTATGAAGACTTATGCAGTGTGCCACCCGAATGTAATTTGCTCCACACCATTGCTGCTGGTGGGCAAGCGATTCTCTGTACCATATATCAACCGTCCGCTGCGATATTGCGCTGTTTCAATAAGCTGTTATTGATAGGCGAAACAGGACAACAGCTGTACTTCGGAGATATAGGCAGTCTAGCTTGCGACGTCGTCCAGTACTTTGAACACTTTGGTGTTTCAGCGGTCGTCGAACATGAAAACCCGGCTGACTGGCTGATGAAAGTCACACAGAAGCCGCCGATCCCGTCATCAAAATCATGGGCGGATATGTGGCAGGAGTCGCTTGAGCACCAGTTGCTCTCGCAAACGCTTTCAGAAATTATCTCCAAGCCAACGACAACTTCCAATGTATCCCGGGCCCATGATAGAGAGTTTAGCAGGGGATTGCACACTCAGTATATAATGCTTCTGTCCCGAACACTGCAAGAGTGTTGGCGCTCTCCACATTATATTTGGTCCAAGCTCCTTCTAGGTAGTGGAATCGTAGGTCATACTCGCAACGTTGTTAGAGCAAGTCGTATGAGGCTGACATACCCGCCAGGCCCTGTCTGTCGGAATCTCGCTATGGATGAGCCAACCGACAATGCAGGGAATCCAAAGCCAGCTGTTCTCCATCTTCCTTATTCTCACCATTGCAAACAGTGGAATGAAGCAGATTATATCTTCTTTTCTCGCTCGACGGGAACTTTTCGAGGCTCATGAGCGTCCCTCAAGAATGTACTCGTGGCAAGCTTTCATATTGGCAAGCATCACTGCCGAGATACCCTCACAGTCGGTGACTGCGGTGGTTGTATTTCTATTATGGTACTTTCCGACGGGAATATTTCATTACCGAGGTTTCGTTTCCAGCAAAGAACGAGGGTGTCTCCTGTTTCTTCTGATCTGGGTATACTTCCTCTTCGTGTCGACATTTGCGCATATGGTATCTGCAGGTATCGCAACAGTGCAAGTTGCGACCAGTCTGGCCGTAGTGTTGTACCAGCTTATGTTGCTCTTCTGTGGGTAAGTAAAGGCTCAGAAACACATCAACCTAACTGCTCCTAACGTTATCAGTGTACTGGCCAGCCCTGCTATACTTCCACGATTCTGGATCTTTATGTATCATGTATCACCGCTGAAATACATGCTGAGCAGCCTTATGTCTGCGGGGATCGCTGGAGTCCCTGTCACATGTCTCGAAAACGAGACAATCCATCTCAAGCCGCCCTACAATATCAGCTGCTCAGTGTATCTCAGGGAGTATTTGAATACGCATTCAGGATACCTCCTCGATGCTGAGGCAACGGATACTTGCCACTACTGTCCTTGGAATTCAACAAATCAATACCTGGCATCACTTGGAATCCATTTTCAAGACAGGTGGCAAAATTTGGGCATTCTAACCCTATTTCTACTTGCTAACGCGATACTTTCGTTGGTGTTATATTGGATGCTGAGGGTGTGGAGGAGAGATCCATGAAAGAGTCATCGACCGGGCATGGCCCGACATTCCAACTTGAGCTTGTTTCTGTCTCCTCTGACGGTCCATGATGGGCCCGACTGTGATCTATGCATTCTCCGGTGTTGTCAAGTATGAACGCCGAAAATGGGAAGAATAATGCTCAATGATGTAATCGAGGTTATCGAGGAAATAAGAGTTTTTGGGGCCATGGAGTTGTTGTAGTCGAATCCAACACTTGGATGTTCCACTGCTCTGAATTCGATTGAAGCTGTGAAAGTACTTCGGTGCTTTTGGCGGGACACTTGATGGAGCGCACGACCGAAAATTCACTGGAATGTATAAGTCACTCTAAAGGTGGCGAGACTGCCTCCGGACACCGGTTGCTGCTCATCTAACAGTGCCGCAATATGTGGCATTTATTGCCCTGTCTGCTTTGCTTGTAAGGAGAGCGCATATGTTGGGGCCAAAATGCAACATGCAGACAGGGTACCTTTTCAATGTTTCACTGCCTAGGCGCCAGGTTAATGTCTCTCCGGTAGGGCGCAAGCATATTGAGCCGGTTCGCTTTGTTTGCCACATAATTGCGGCACAGCAAGGGCACTGTTGAGACAATTCAAACACCTGGAGCTCCGCCAGAGGCAACCTGGTATCGAACAAAGATTTTGACTGCGAACAGGATGGCCTACGTGATTCTTCTGCTACCGTTTTTGGTTCTGGGAAATACGTACCTCTTGTCCTTCATTTTGTTCCGGCGTGCAATGAGACGGGCATCCGGGCTGCCCCCCACTGTCCCTTATGTGTTCCCCGGCATTGTTCACACAGGGACCTTTGCAGCCGGCGGGGAAACTCTTGCAAAAGCCTTGTTGTATGTCGTATTCCCAACCTAAGTTACTTGGTAGTAACTTTGGATACAGAAAAAATTCAGTACCAGAGGCAGCGGTGCGATACCAAGGCATTGGCTTTGACTTCGTACTCCTGTCCGGGGCAAGCCTTATACGCAAAGCCTTGACTTCGTTTTCTCAGCACCTTGACTGGAATACAATCAGTGCTCCCTTGTTCAAGAATATGTTCGGCGGCACTGACGCCGTTGTCGAAGCCCTCAGGCAAGATAACTCCGGTATTGGTGCCAAGCCCTATTCAGGTAGCAACGTTCATCCCGGTCGACGTCTACTCAGAAACCAGATCCTCTTCTTCTCTGACGCTTTCTCAAAAAGCAGTCTGGATGAGCTCGTGCCTAGGTTTGTGCAGAGTCTAAAAACCTGGTGCGAGGCTTCCGACGAAATCGGCACGGAGTGGGTGGAGAAGTCCGACCTGTATGAATTTGTTCGCGATGTTCTTTTCGACTGCAACGTTGATTCATTCTTCGGGAAGAGTCTTCGAGCGTTAAATCCCAACTTAAGCGCCGACTTCTGGGAGTACGATGACAATATCGGTTTTCTCGCGACCCCTAAGCCACGCTGGCTGAATCGAAGAGCTGTGCTAGCCATGGAGCGCTGCCACGCAGCAATGAAGCGCTGGAGAAAGAATGCTGTGGACGAGAGTGCCAAACGCACAATCTCAGATGATGCCGCATGGGACCCTGCGTGGGGGTTAGGTGCAATTCGCCGGAGGAACAAATTACTTGATGCTACTGAAGGCTTGTTCGATGAGCACAACCGGGGGTCGATTGATCTTGCTCTTTTGTGGTCGTAGGTCTTACTGTTCCGCCACACCGATGATGATACTGACAGCTGGATTGTTTCAGATTGACTTCAAATGTCATTCCCGCCTCCTTCTGGTACCTCTTTGAAGTCCTATCTTCGGAAGGATTATTAGCCCGTGCTGTTAAAGAGATTGAGAAGCAAAAGCAGAACGACCCGGACACGAACGATCCGGTTTTAGATTCCACGGAGCGCACAACTACGCCCCTCCTCGAAGCCATATATGCAGAGACCGTCAGACTACATGTCATTACGCTGATCACACGAACGGTAAAGAAGAGTTACAGCGTGGAAGGATGGATCCTCCCGCAAAACCAGAATGTCATCGTTTCCAGCCAAATAGAGCATATGAGCAGACAATGGGACAGCCCAGACGGCAAGCATCCGTCCTCCGAGTTCTGGCCGGATCGATTCCTTCTCCCAGAAAGCTCCGATACTATCGACGAGGAGGAGAAGTTCTCTCTAGAAGGGAGGCAAGGACAGTGGATTCCGTTCGGGTTGGGTGAACACATGTGTCCGGGTCGGCACTTCGCAAAGCAGGAGATGATCATCAGCTTTGCTGTGCTCACACACTTTTTTGAATTCGAATTGCTTACTCCGCCTGGTTGGCGTCCGGATAACGATTTGAGCAGATATGGATTCGGGACGCAACAGCCGAAGCAGAAGGTCCCCTTCAGGGTGCGGAGGCGAACTAGTTGAAGTCGGACGACATAGTCATCTTCCGTTGATCTTGGGCAAAAGTACACAATGGGGAGCTTTAACAGGGATGAGACAAAGTGTGGGATGGTGTCTATTGGGAGCATTAGGTCGTTGTCAAGATACGTGTTTTCGTTTTCCAATCAGCCAGTTATTTGTTTATCCATCCGATATTCCCATCAGCGCTGCGTAAAGGATATTCTCCCACGGTTCGCCGATAGTCTGTAGATTAATTCGTTTCGATCAATATCCGTGTATGGCTTGCTTTGAAATAGATGTAATCAAGATCTTGAGGTATACTCGATTGCATAGAGTGGAAATGGAGAAATATGGGAGTTCATGGGTGAAGCCCGCAAGGCACTGAGCCCGTTCTGAGGAGCTGGTGCAAGCCGAAATGAAAAGAGAAAGGCATAACCGGAATAAACGAACAGTATTTACTGTAGTCCTTGACCTGTTCACTGAAGATGAGAATACTTGGATTATGAAGAGCCTGTAAACTTCTTAGGTCACGTGGGGAGCCGTTCACTGCTTGGCATACTCCTTGTATGGTAAGAATAGCCGAATGTCGGAAGGCCAGTTCCGAGAAGCTTGCAGCCTCGGTATATGATGTCACAATACCACCGACTCTACCCGGGATATTCGAGGGCAAAGGAGAACCAGACGATAGGCCGAAAAACTATATCTATGGAGCAACCCCACTCGGGTTCAAGGTTTACCACGCTATCATCATTACAAATCGATCGCCTACGTATTCGCGCATATCGATAACCTTTTAAAGATGCCTACGCCGCCCTTCTCCCCGGACCGCCAAGCCTGGATACAAGAAATCGGGAGTTTGTTCAAGACCAGAAGACACAGCTCATTAGACAAAAGAGCAATCGTGACCGGCAGATCTCCAACACCGAGCGATGACATCTCCGTCTCAGCATCTTCCAAAAACGATAAGGCAGTGGGTAACTGGGCAAGATGGTCTCAATAACCTGAGGATGGAGGAGGTGGAGTTGCCGAAGCCAGGAGAGGATGAGGTCCTTGTGGAAATCAAGGCTGTCAGTTTGAATTATAGGGATACTGAAGGTGCGTGTGTCTCCTCGTCAAAAGCGCCGCGAGAGCTGGCTGACATTGTCAGTGTCAATGGGCCTCTATAACCACCACAAATCTGTCGGAAACCAGCCCGCAATCGTACCTTGCAGCGACATGTGCGGTATCGTCGTTTCAGTTGGCCCAGTCACAGACTCGGATTCCCCATTTAAAAATCCCGCTTTTCGTCTCAAGCCCGGCGACCGCGTAATCAGTACTTTCAACCAGACGCACCTGAGCGGTCAGATACAGGTGGAAGATATGGGCAGCGGCCTCGGGAAACCCCTGCCGGGAGTTCTTACCCAATATCGCGTCTTCCCGTCTTATGGCGTGGTTAAGGTACCCGACTACCTGTTGGACGAGGAAGCTAGCTGTTTGCCCATTGCCGCCGTCACAGCATGGATGGCGTTGAATTGTATGAGGCCAAAGGGAGAGATCATCGGCTCTACTGATGAGAGGGAAACCATCGTCTGTCAAGGCACTGGTGGCGTGAGTATATCCGCATGTCAAATCGCCAGCGCAGCCGGAGCGAACGTTATCGTCACCTCTTCCTCCGATGACAAACTGAAGAAGGCCGCTGGGATAGGTGCGAACGAGACAATCAACTACAAGCACGTGCCTGACTGGGACGAAGAGGTTCTTAAGAGGACGGAGGGCCGGGGAGCGGATATTATCATTGAGGTTGGTGGTGCACAAACACTGCGTAAGAGCTTCGAATGCGTACGATTCGGCGGCCTCATTGCAAGCATCGGTTATCTGTCAGGAAAGGAGGACGCGGAAGGTGACAGGACCAACGTCAACCTCCTAGCTCTGAAGCGCAATGTTACGCTTAAGGGTATCATCAACGGGCCGCGGGATCAGTTGGAGGAGATGCTCAAGTTCTACCAACAACATCAGATCAGACCAGTTGTGGACAGGGTGTTCAGATTTGAGGAGGCCAAGGATGCATTGAAATACCTCTTTAGCGGGTCCCATTTCGGAAAGGTGGTAGTGAAGGTTGCAGAGTGAAGGATTGATCTGAATCAATTGAGTTTGATCTCAGTCGATCTTTGAAATGATACCTCAGTTTATATCCTCCTCAGTGTCCCTTTCATTGCCTGCATTCGCTTCCTTCGCGTGGTCTAAATCACCCACGTCAACATAGCGAGACATCAGCGAGTGACTCCTCTTTCTCGTCACAAGCTGATTGTTGGTCTTACAAGAACAATTCGCATGCGCTCGCCCTTCACATGTTGACTGACATAACTTGCTGATCCGCCGATCCTGGGGGCCAACATCAAAACACTCTTAGACTACCCTTGATTCCTCCGTCAAGCTTTCATGGAGTACTCCACTGTAGTTGCGCCTCAAGCTTCCGGAAAACTTCATTCATGATCATGGCAACTGAGTATCCAAGACCCCACCTTTGTCTCCGCAGAATTCCTGGTAAATCCGGTTCAAACACCGGTTTCTTCCAAAGGTGAGCGATTAGGATGCCTATTGAACGCCGTCGACAGGAGCAAGATGTTAACAAGTATATTCATAGTGGTTGCAACACGCAACTCACTCTCATAAGCTATCAGAACAGGCATGCACCAGAGCAAACAGTGAAATGGAGAGAACATAATTGGGAGAACCGAATTTGCCCACCGGCACACATCAAGGGAAGGGCCTTGTCTCGAGATGAGGACAAGAAACGGATTCTCCTGAAGTATGTACGGACTTTTGAGCTTGAGATAACCACTTCCCACCTCACGGTCAGTGAAGGAGTAGAGATTGAGAGCTGGTTCAACGAGGTTGACCAATTTCCGAGGACGACAGACGTGATCATGGGACGTGACCGCGGTGACCCAAAAGGCACAGCTGATTTCATGGTGTGGTCAGCGGCTTGTCTCATAGGGTCCTTTTGACTCTCTTCAGTTCCGGAGTGCTGTGGTAGCAGTCTGCACCCAACGTTAGTATATAGCTCCAGTGCAGATTCCCACACTGACAAAGAATAATCATACTGGCTTTATAGCTCTCTAATACTTAACGTCGTCATCTCGCGCACTCGCAAGAGAGCATGAGCGCACCGTCAGAGTTTCCCGCTGGACATTGGGAAAGGCTGGAAGGCCAAATCCATGAGGATGGTGCTCGGAAAGAAAAAGTGGTGATATCTTTAAGAGTTGCATGAACACGCTGGCGGGGAGAAGGGACCTCCTGCATTGGAGGACCCAAGTTTCGACGGACTTCACCGTCCGCAACGCCTGTTAGTCCTCTATATCCGCCTTTCACTCCCCTTTCTTCGAGCGCCTTCATCCAGCTCTACGTCATCAAAAGTCTCCGCTCAAGCCTCAAGAAGAGCCTTGCGCCTCAGAAGTCCTGGGGAAATGCCTGCACACCTAGGCCGACACTGCTCAAACCTGATCTCCACATAGTCAATGGCAGTGAATGCCCCAAAAAGGATCCCAATTTGGTCTTGGACAACCAATCCCGAGCCAGCAAAGGCCTTGTTCGCTGGTGTTCCTTTGTCCGATTGTCACTTTCGATCACGTTCTCCACCTTTGTTTTCCTCCCGGTTTCACTCCCACAACATTGTGAAAACACCAAATCGAGTCACGGCGTTGTGCTTTTTCATAGTGATTTGGCGCACTAGCCGCAGCGATGGTGCTTATATAACCACTTGCCTTTTCTGCCTGCGGCCGCCAGATTGACCGCCGCGAGTACGCACATATATTTCATCTCGCCCTCCTGATCCAACTCAAACCTCCAAGCACCAACCCTCTCTTGATAAACTTGAACCACAACAAGACTCCTCTCAGAAACCCCATCACTCTTCCGTATCAAACTCGTCTCTGTACCCGTCTCGTAACTCTCTTGAGCGCACAAACTACCATCACTTCCACTACACCCACATACCGATTTCTTTCCATCCAGCTTCAGCATGTCAACCCGACCCACAAGTCCGCTATCTTCTCCGCCGCCCTCCAGCGAGCCTGCTGCACCTGCAACTATGCCCACTACTCCAAGCGTAGCTCCTGCAGCCCCTGTCGTGACAAGAACTGGCCCTGTGAAGGGCAGAGTTAAGAAAGCCTCCCAGCCCAAACTCCCCATAAAGGATCTGTTTACGCCCTGGAAACCACAAATCACGCTACCGAAAGCACATCCTTCCTGGGGACAGATACCCTACCCGGAGGACGGCCAAGAGCTAAAGGCTCGTCAGGACCTTCCCCCAGCGCGTACATCCAACGCCCAAACAATTCCGCCTCTGTGGGAAGATCGAAAGTATCGCTTCAAGCCTGGACGATATCATGTTTCTTTCGACGATGACGAGGAGGGAGTGGACGAAAACCCGGACGGCACTCTGCTGGACCAAGAAGACAACCTCGTGATTCCGCTGCTCGATATGCGTCCGATTAGCCGATTGAACCAGCAACCGCGTCGCGCGCCCACATACTATGTTTACGAAAATGGCAAGCCCAAGGATTGGAAGAACCTGCAAACTCTGAAGGCCCTGAATGACCGCCGTCGAGAGGCCATCTGGCGGATCACCTGCGATCCGCCGTGGAATGAGCAGGAGCGGGAGTACCTAGCATACTTGTGCGAGGTGTATCCTAACGCATCGATTCTCGAGATGGCGGAGCGGTTTAATTGGCGTTTCAAAGGTGACTTTCGAGAGGAGCATGGCTTTGCCTTCAATCATATACACGAAGGTCGCACGCTGGAGAGCATCCGCCATGAGTATTTGAGTTTCAAAGACATCTATGACCACGGCAGGGTCCCCCTTCCGAAGAGGCAGGAAGGAGACAAGACCGACCTCAAGAAAGTCGGCAACAGGAAGGTTAAATCGGCAGCGGAGATCGCCATGGCAAAGTTCACCACGATGAAAGAGTGGCAAGAGGCCTGTGGCACCGACAAGAACGGGCAGAAACGCGGTCGGCCTAAGAAGAAGAGCGCTGATACCGTGGCCGAGTCTGACATTGAGGACAAACATCAAGGTGATCTTGCGATGGACACCTCAGGGTTGAGCGAAGTTGATGACGAGCTGTTCGACCTGGCAGGTGGCAATGAGCCCGATGACATTTCTGGCTCATCGACTGAGCAGGTTCCTGGCCACGCTGCTGAGGTTCATCAACCTGAACCGGAGACTCCTGTGCATGATGTCCCGAACGCTGAAGTCCGTTGCGCCGCATCCCCGCTTTCCCATACTGCCGTAAGCCAGCCATCGGATATTCAGGTCCAAGCCAACAATGCGCCTCCTTCGACGCTTCGGAAGAAGCGCAGCCAAAGTGATGACGACGGCGAGGGCGACACTGACGAGGGAGACAAGTCAGCTCCGCGGAAGAAGCGTTGCATGTCGCACGACGGCGAGATCGGAGGACTGACCCGTCCGATATCCCCTTTACCACAGCGTTGCTCTCCGGCTTCACGGCGCTTAAGCCAGGAGGTGCGCCGCCAGTCCACCTGTACGTATGCTTGTCGGTCTGTGGCTGTCAACGAGCAACATTGGCCCGAACGTGTGCAGTCGATGTTGTACCATAGTGCGCTGAACGTTTCCTCCCGCGACTGCGGCCCTGCTCCGGTCCATAACGCGTTCCAGGATGAGGACGAAGATTCCGAAATGACCGAATCGGAATAGAGAACACTCCTTGGAGGTGTACTGGACGAATCTCCCCTAAACGCCCCGCCTTCGACCGCAGAAGAGAGATACAATGGCAGATGTCCGAGAGTGGTTACGTCTGTGATTATCATTTTTGCAGTGTCCTCGTTTCTTCGTTCTCTCCTCACGCCTCTTCACCGGGTTCGGTCGATGAGGCCTGTATATTTCCCTTTGTCTCGGTAGATCAATAGTTTCCATGGTCCTTTTCGTCCTTTGTCTCTCTGATACACATGATTCCAATTTCCCTTTTCTCTTGACTGCATCTGCATACCTGACGTGATCTTGAGCGTATTCTGGCATCTCTTGTAACAATGGCACTGGGTAGAGGCGAACTCCGCACTCGAATCCGCGACAGGTACGGGACGAATAGGCTCGACCGGAGTTCTAGAGTGCACATCATCTGTATTTCATGAGTACCGCCCAGATGCGAGGAATGCACCACTTGCCTTACTTTCTTAACCACTCTTCCGCCGTAGTGAACACCACGTCTGAGTACTGTATAACTTCCAAAACAGGGGGACCCCATCCTGACAAGGAAAGCACCAGCGCGCAGCGCCAGTAGCCATGCCATTTCATCTACTCCAAAGTAAAAGACACGAACATAGCCGAACTAAAGCCATACAAACAAGCCCAAGCATGAGCGCTAAGTGGGCGAGGTATCGCAAACACCATTAACAAACCATCCAGTCATCCCTCTTCTTCGCGCAGCTCACTGCTGTATATACTCCAACATGCAACAGAACGTATTCCTTCCCCGCATCGTACAGGCAACTATGCACAAGCCGATGACATCGTCTTCCCCGGCGTTACCATCGCGATATATACCAACGCCTTCTCCGTCCTCACGCCCGTCCATATATTGTGCCATATCCTCAAGATCCGGCCCCGACATTACTAGTACTAACACTCCTCTTCCACCCGGCCCAGAAGCCGCCCACAACACTGGCTCCACTCGCAGGCGGCGTCGATACAGGCGTAGCAGATGCGCTCTTCGAGTGGAGCATTCCGGCCGACGAAGGGGATTGCGAGTGCCCAGACGTACCAAGACCCGTTGGCGTAAGCCCCATCGCTTTCTTCATGCTCTCAAATCGTGCTTTCAACTCCTCAAGTTCCTGTTTCGCTACCGCTTCGGCTGTTTTGGCGTTCACGAGCTCGAGGAGAAGGGCTTCGGTATCGGCGGGTGGTGGCGGAGCTGTGGCGGTTGCAGCAGTAGATGTGTTTTCCGCTGAAACGGCCGGACAAGTTGTGGAGGAAGATGATGAAGGAATGAAGGTCTGTGAGGCGAGCGAGGATGTGCGCTTCGCGAAATGGGGCACGGGAGGCGGTGGTTCCCGTTTCTTCTGGCTAGCTGAGCGTCCCAGTCGCAGCTCGCGCAGGCCGCCAGTAGTTGTGGACGTGGATACGCCGCTGTCCGCCGTACTGCTCCGTGAGAGGGAAGGAGAACTATCAGGGGTGTCGCCCCCTCCAATCCAGGGGACTGAACCTTTCCGTGCGTTCTGTCGAAGTTCCTGGATAGTCTTCTCATACCGCTGGTTCTGATTATATGACTCTTGAAGTCGGTGTCTCGTCTCCTTCAAGGCGTCCCGCGCCAACTGAAGTTCGGCTTGTGTGTCGTTAAGATCGCGGGCTAACGAAGCGGCGCGGAGCGTCTCATTGCTTAGCTGCTCTTTCGTCCGGGCCAGTGAGTCTTTCAGGACCGCCTTTGTTTCGAACATGGAGGAGGCACGGTGATGTGTCTGCTGTGCAGGAAAGCGTCCATCGAGGAGGTCTGCAGCCTCTCTAACATAATCCGGTATTGGAGTAGCATTATTGGCTTCGGTAGGCGGTATCGTCACCTCTGCTGCGGTGATGGTAGTTCTCCTTCTGGTTTCTTTGGAGGACGGCGCTGATAGCGAGGGACCCTGATTGCGCATCTTCGCAATCGCTGCGCGAATGATACGATGGTCTTCTCTGCGATCTTCACGCTGTTTCTGCAGAGCTGCTTCCAGCTCGCTGTTCTGCCGCTGCAGTTGACTGATAGACATCAGCAACTGCTCGATCTGAAAATGTAGGTCCCGGTCCTTCGCCGAATGACCAGCGCGGATAGAGAATGCCATCGACTCGTGGCCTGATTTGACAGAGAGCGCATCCCCTGAGGAACCACGCGAAAGATCTGTCAAGGCCGTGCTTTGCGTGTTGCCCGAGCTGTCAGAGCCATGCTCCGACATCATAGTGGATGCTAGACTTTGTTTTGAAGGCGTGCGGCGCATAAAGCTGATCGGCCTACTCGGCGCTGACAGGCCAGGACTTAGCGCCACGGACTTCGTGGACGAGTTGGAAATGGGCCACAAGCGACCCAGGAATGAAGTTGCCGATTTTTGTATCTCTTTCGACGTCCCTTCATTTTGAGACTCCTTGAACGCTGCCTCAAGTCCTTGAAGACGCTCGCGAGTAACATCGTTGGTGAAGCTGACAAAGTCGTTCACCAGCTCATCCGCAGACTTAGAATTCCTGCCATACGGGTCCCACAGGCTCCGTCCAAGAAGCAATTGCATCACGTCTTCGAACTCACTCAGCGCCAGGATACGCTGTTCGTTTCGTTTCATCAGCGCAAGAGCGACACGCATAATCGTCTCGCTTGCGCCTTCGGCGAAGAGGACGTCGTAGATCCGAAAGAGCATTGGAAGCGGGCACGTTACTGCAAAGAAAGACAAGAACCACTGCGACAGATACGCAGACTCTACCTGTAGTGACTCCAGATGTGCGGCCAGCTTCGGCATGTGGTGATGCAGTAAGCGTTGGAATTGGAAGATGCGAAGGTGAAGGCCAGAAAGGTCCGGAAGGAAGCAAGAGCGCAGATCGTAGTCTTCCATGAGCCTAAGCATCATTAGCAAGCATTATGACGCAGAGTTTGGCATTGCACGTACCGTACGAGGACACAGAAGGCCTCCTTATCGCCCATTTGCATGAGCAGAGGACCTACCAGGAAGCCCAGGCCCTGGCAGTATCCAATCTTATGGTCGTACAGGCTGAAGCACTTCAGTACCCGGCCCAGCATCTTCTGGCCCTCGCCGTCCGGATCCTTGAACATCTCCACACCGGGAAAGCTTCGCCCAAGGTCTTTGTTGATGATATTCTCGTAGGGACTCGACTCTCCGCAAAGTGTATCATATTGATCTTCGATCAGCTTATCCCGGGCGCCTGAGGCACTCTGCCATACAACCCCACGCAGGGGTGCAGGGATTCCTCCGCGTATTTTGTTGAGTGTCAACGTGGGTAACCGTTGCACTGTTTGTGGGTAGTCCCTCACTAACGCCGCCCAGAACTCGAGTTCGGTCATCGGGGGCGGGGAGGGTAGTTGGGAGAACCGCACTTCGGCCGCATCCTGCCTCTGTATAAGACGTTTGAGCTGGTTGATCGACGGCGGTCGCGACTGGCTTCGTTGCCGTGTAGCTTTCAAAGCCGATTTGGGATCTGCGGTCAAGGCGTTATTTTCCTGTTCCAGTCGAGCCAGCAGCAACGCCATTGCCTGAGAGGTTAGCATACAGGGATATGCCAGGGACTGGACGTATAACGAACCTCATCTTGACCCTCTTCCTGCGGCTCCTGTTCCTCCTTCTTTTCCAGCTCAGCCCAATCAACGCGGGCGCTATGATCAGAGACACTGCTGTTGCTCCTTGGCCGATTGCCTCCTGTCGGTGACTCCGCTGCCGTGTTATCCGCCAGGGAAAGCGTGGAGTTCCGCACAATCGAGTCGTCCAGTGAGGCATCTGAGGCGCGGGGTTCGCGGAAGGCTTTGAGAATCTCCTCTGAGGTGGGTCGTGAGGATAACCGTCTCTCTCCTACAGTGATTTCCGGTTTTAGTGGCGTTCGCGCCGTAGATTCCACGTCCTCATCCATGCCTCCTCCATCTGTCGGGGCTTCGGAGAGTGGCACAGTAACCATTGAATCTGTGGGTAGCGGTTGACTGTCGACATGGCTCCTGGGCGATCGCGAGGTCCCCTGGAACGTCTGGAAGGGCTCCCCGCATATGCTATGATCCGTAATCGTGGCCATTTCCAACCCTCCTGAAGCAGAGATTATGGCACACTGATCAACCAGGCATGGGACCTTTTGAAAAAATGGTACAGAAGCGCGGAAGCTCGAGGTAGGTACGAGGCTAGAGAGATTGCATAGAACGGGTCAGGACGTTCGTAGACTTCGGTGTACGGATAGATCGCGGTCGGAAAGGGTGACGGGCTCCCAAATACTGTAGCAAGAGGGGGAAAGGTTACTCAGCAGGTTCTGCCGAAGCATAGCATAATGAGAGGTGTAAACTAGGAATTGGGCGACCCAAAAAAGAGAAACCGTCAGAAAAACGCAACACTGTGCAGATAATGGTGTGAGTCTGGTGCGGAGGAGGTGGGTAGGCTTTGACGCTTGGAGGTTTCAGGAGGTTGCTCGCTACGTTTACCAGATGAAGGCGCGTTACCCCTGTATCCCTGCAGCTAACTCTTGGCACCGCCTACACCATCATCAAAACGCGCTAACCACTCAGGAAAGCCGTGGAATTACTGTGTAGAGATTCTATAACACCAAGAGGGAGTTGTCTATAAAGCAGTGAACGTTGTGGCCTCTATTCAGAATTGGTCAATCTGCCAGCCTCTATCCAACTTTCCGTCTTGAATTGCCCAACCCTTTAACCTGCGTCTCAAAGTAATCCCACCACAGGCACCATTCGCCATTTCACGTCCTGCCTGCAGCTACTTACAGACCGCTGACCCATTACTTCTTTAAGCCTCTGATCCAATTCCCACCCATCCCTGCGCCCTATACCCCTCGAACCGCCTGTTGTTCTCCTTGATCCACCAGAAGATGTTCAGCACACGGATGGTGCGACGCATGAGATCGCCTAGATTAAGGCGGCGGATCTGTTCCTCCGACTCGGTCAGGTACCCATCTAGCTCCGAAGAGCGGTGGGTCATCTGCACCGGTATAGCAGCACCCTCAGCGGTGCTTTGTGGACTGGTGAGCCACTCTAAGAACTTGGCACCATCGGGCGTCGGGAAGGATCGCAGGATTGCGCGTTGTGGAATACTGGCGACGGTTGAGAGTGCAAGATTTGGGCGGGGACCGATTGGAATAGGCGGTCGAATGACGATATGAGCGGGATTGACTTGTCCGCGGCGGGTCTCCCCCCAGCCATCGTAGCGGAGTCTGTCCTGAACAGGGTAGTCGGGAAAGGTAGTATATAGCTGCTCCATATGACGGCGGTTCTCAATGATTGCGTGGGGCAGAACGATGCGGGTGATGAGGACGTGGAGGTCCTGGAGGTTTCCGAAGCCTGCAACTGCCTGCGATCTCATGAAGTAGGAGAGATATTGCATCCAATCCGGCTCTGTACCTCCAGGGACAAGCTCCGGACGGATCAAATAGGCGATGATGATTGAGGGGACGTCGCGGAAGGGGGGCTCGGTATTGGACATGGAGTTGAATTCGGCAACCGCGGCGTCCACAGGGGGAATTCCTTTAAGGACCGCCTCCAAGGAGGCCGCTGGCGGACGATCTGAATCGTTAATGCAAAGACTAAAAGCATAGCTTGTACGAAAAGTATATAGCGCGGAGCGGGCATTCCTTCCGTCCTTGATCATCCCAACCAATGCTGCGACCCGTGATCAAGAAGAAGGGACAGCGCATACAAGGAAAGGGGACAAAGAAAGCTCCAGCACTGGGGCAGAAGAAGTGACAGAAGTGGCAGAAGTGGCAGAATGCCTCAAAACACGGCTTACTTACTTTGACCGCCGCTCTGAGCATGGTCCCCGCGCTGAAGAGGAGAGCTGTGCTGAGCTTCGGCGTTGTTGGTCGTATCTGCCATCTTGGAAATCGCGTTGGGCAATTCGAAAGACAGGTGTGGGAGATGTATCCTCAGTGTCGAAACCCTCCCTTGAGTGTCAAAATTTGGAAGACTTATGAGCAGGTCCTGCCAACTGGAAGCTGGAAAGTGTCCAAAGAATGCGTTTGGAAAGATGAAGGCAAAGGAACCTCTGAAAATCGAAGAGCAATGGAGAGCAAACCAGCAAGAGTCTCAATGTGGGAGTGGTGTGGTTTAGGTACAGAGTAGGAGAGGAATTGAAGAGGATTATATATCGTGGAGCTCGTTGCCTACCGAGCTTGGACCACAAACAAGAATTTTCTTTGCGCTTCTACAGTATAAGCGATACACTTGACGGTGACTGAAAGCAACGGATATATACCGCAGATCGACGAGGATTGCGCACCCAGCCGTGACCATCCAGTCGATTGCCCCTGGGCGGTCAGGCGCCCAGTGCCTGTAATTAGCAAGGGCGTCCCGCGCATGCGGGATACGACCAGTGAGGAAACTGACCGCTTTTTCTTTGTTGGAGAATAGGTAGGCGGGCCATCTTCACTGTAGATTGGAGATTGCCCTTGCACTAGCGGCTCCGCATGAGACCATGCTCAGAAGGTACACAGGGAAGACCGCCCGTAGTCTGAGCATTTCCTTTCGATCCCTAAACTGGTCTCCACCTTCAACGTATGACGTACGTTATGAAGAGATACGCACGGCTTCCTTATCGACGGGGTCTCCGTCTCCGTAGCAATGACATTGCTTAATCTCCATCTCATTGTCGTGTTGCTGGGAACCACCCCACTTCAACTTGGTTAAGCGTTGGGAAAGATCCGGAGTGACTGCGCTCATCGCTCCCATGATGATTGCAAGACAACCACGACAGGGCTTTTGCCCAAGTGGACGCCGCATGCAGCCGTTTCTTCCGCCCAGATATCGTCGAGGCCACTCAACGGATACCATAATGGGCGCATGTCCGCATTAAGGCCTTCCCAAAGCTGCACTCTATGCTAGTTCGGATGATGTAGAGGGCAAACGTAACGGCTTGACTGGTGAAGAGGATAGATGGACGTCGCTTTCGGACTGACCGCGCCTTCCGCTGTTCGGCTTAGCGTGGTTGTTTCTTATCTTAGCGATCCATTTTGCCGGGTCCGATCATAAGCTTGGCATCAACCTCACGTCTTCTATCATCCTCTTCATTTACAATTCTCCTTCACAGAGATGATTAGTTTTCCATGATGAGACCGCAGACGAAACATGAAAGAGCATGCGCAGGTTCAGGTTCGCTTTCCCGCTCCATCGCCTGCACTCCATCCCTCTTCCAACTTTTCCGCATGCTCAGCTGGTGCGGTTTCATGCACCCAAACATTGAAGCGCTATTGAATACTCATTTTCTTGAGTGAAATTCGAGCTTTGGTAAACGTTGTGTTGTGCTAACACTATGTACAGGTTTCCGCCGTCCTCTAGAGCTTGGGTTTCTGGGGCCCGACGAGCAGATGCAGTCCTGTCGAGGAACTCAGCCTCCACTGCAGTACGATATGCTTGCACCGTTTTATCAGCGTAGGGATAGCGGTAATGGACAAAGTGGTGTTTTTTTTATCTCAAGTCTACAACAACGTCAACCTTTCTACACCTGCCACTCATGATCCGTTATTCAATGACAGCCCTAATCATCCCCCACGACTATCACTTTCCCTTAATCAACTGCTTCCTCATAGTCTATTCCAACTCGGAAACAAATTTCCACTTACTATCTCTGATGTTTTGTTGCGTTTGGCGTGGGGCGCCCGGGAGAGGTGGCTTGCGCCCTGAGCAACCTGCCGTCTTTCACCAGGCCGTCTTTCACTGACTGCTGCGTCTCCGCCGTTGTTTACAGCGAAAAATTTGCGCGTTTCGCGTTCCCAGTCGCGTTCTATTATGTCAATCTCTAATTGTGTCATTATTGTGCTCGCCCTTGCTATTATGATCCCTCCGGCGCTTCCAGCTTAAATAGCAGCCTCCGCACCTTCCCTCTGTTTTCTCCTCAACCTTCCACCTTCCACCACCACCGCCAGCTGCGCCTTGTTCCGCGACTACCTTGCTCAATTATCGCTCACCTTTCCACGCTTTTCCTGAGTCCAAGCGCGTCGTTTTCATCAATGGCACGCGAAAAGCGCCCTGCGCTGCCTGCCGCGTACGGCACGCCCGGCAGTAAGTCATCAGTGTCGGGCATGCTGCGCAGGTCGCTGACATCCTCGTAGACAAACCGCCTCAATATCTGATTGGCGAGGTCAGCGGCACGCCTGAGACGGCTTCTGACTACTCCTTTGGTTTGTTTCCCGCAAACATAGCCCGATCTCTCAGTTAACCTTCAAGCAGCCACCGTCAATTCCGCCACCCCCATCAACCGCGCCGCGTCCTCTCCTCCGACCACCATCGAGAGGACTGGCATCGACGCTGCCCTGATGACCGTCGTCAACGCTGAGGCTTCGAAGCTCTTCGGCCTCTCCTCTGGTTCCGCCCGTAGTACACTCGACGCGGCCCGTCTCATCGAACACACTCACAGTTTTACAGTTGATGCGCCCTTGCCTCCCCAGACGCCTTCCGAGAAGGAGAATAATGCCCCATCGTCTCCTATCAACCCGGGAAATGGAAAGTCGGCTGCTTGCCCAGCCAACGTTCACCGTGGTAACAAGTTGGCTGCTTTCTTCTCCAAGGGCATTGAAGCCCCGAAGCCCACGTCTGCTACCGCCACCGCCGCTGCCGTCAGCACCAAGCGATCCGCTGACGACGCCGGACTTCACGCCGAAGATGGCAGCCGGATGGCTGATGCTGCGCTCAACGCAAAGCCCGATGTCGCAGCTCGCAATAACAGTGCTCCGAAGCAAGGTCGCAAGACATCGATCAAACCCGCCCAGAAGCCTCAGAAGAAGCTTGTCCGAAAGTCGGCTCGTCCGGTCAATCAGACACCGCCACGCAAGAGGCAAAAGGTAGACCTTGCAGTCCAACACAAAGTTCATGATGATTCGGAAGGATCAGACCGCGACGATGTCGATATGATGGATGTTGAAGAAGCTGAAGCTGGCGTGAGAAGCGAGCCCATTACCGACAACAACAATAACGACAACAACGATGCCCCCAAAGCGGTACCGGTCAGCAGTGAAGTCAAGAAGAATGCCAACAACAATGGCGCCAAACAGAAAACCGCGGCCGACACCAATGAGGACCATGTGCTCGTCCTCCAAACCATGAAACGTTCCGCGCGTATTCTGAACCCAGAAGACCCAGTCGATGCTGCCCTCATTGCCGAAGCCGAGAAACACAAGGACACTACTCTATATGACACTGACGATGAGCGCGAGGGTGACTTGAAAGGTAACATCAGCAAGCCCGAGTTGTTCCGCAACGTTCGCTGGAAGGATGTTGCTTACGATACCGATGTTGAGCCTTTCGAGCCGACACTCGACTTCAATGGCTTTGTCCCCGGTCGCTTCGAGCGCATGCCCGATGGGACTGTGCGTGATCAGAAGTCCAAGCTCTTGACGAAGCTTGTCGATGCCAACGGTAACCGCAGGATCTATCGCAACCCACCACCGAAGGACTGGAACAACCAGGAGGCCTTGACCGCTCTCAACAAGCGCATCGTTCAGCAAATTCGCCGCAATAGCAACGTTCGTTTCCGACGTCAAGTCGTTCCCTACGAGCAGTTTGAGCGCGAGTGGATCCTGAAGAACCTGAACAGCTCCGGCAAGCCGAAAAAGGGGTGGATCGAGTTTGTCGCTGATTTCAATGAACAGTTCGAAGGAAAGGTCTTCGACGGCGTTATCGAACCCCGCCCCCAGCGCTCCGTCTCCAGCCTCACCAAGGAAGTTGACCGATTCCATGACGACTATTCGCAGGGACGTGTCCCTGAGCCCGCTGCCGACAAGGACAAGCGTAAGACCAGTTCCGGAAAGCGCAAGGCCACCGACAATGTTGATACCGCCGAGATGGCAACTGTCTCCAAGAAACGCAAGGCTAATTCCGACGGGACTGCCGGACCCTCTGCTGCCTCTAAGAAGCGCAAGGTCAGCAACTAAGTTTGCTTCACTGGTGGACGCTTCGACATAATGTCACGTATGTTAACTAGCCCACCTTCATTGTTGTCGGTTGTTCGCTGTATCCGGATGACTCGACTCACTGCTACCCTATCAGGAGGCGCTCGAATGTTGACGTTGATTTAGCGACAGGATGATGTATCGACCTTCTAGACACGATCTCAACGCTTCTCATCTGCTGAAGCACAATGTTCTCATGACGGCTTACGGGACTATCAAAAGATGCATTTCCTCAGTGGTTTCCGCGACACTCACTGTTCCCTCCGAATATCAATATGCTTTGCTCTATGACCTCTTTCGGTTCTTTTTCATTCATTCAGCATGTTTTCCCAGCAAACACAACACACACCTTCAGCACAAGCTTCCCCAACACCACAATGCCAACCCACATTGACGATTCCGCTCTGGACTCATGGACGATCGAAATTTCTTCCTCTGAACTCCTTTACGGGTGCACCTGGTTCCGAGCTCTTGCTTAATTTTGTTCAAGGACAGGGCCGTTTAGGAACTCTTCTTGGATTGAGGCCCTCACAGGACTCTCCTTGGATTGAGTACCTTTCGGAAACGTCTTTGGATTTGAATTCTCTGGAGATCTCTCCTTGGGTTGAGATTTTTTACGACTCCCCTTGGATCGACTTCTCTCTCCGAACTCTCCATCGACCTATTGCTCCTTGGAACATTCTCTGGCCTTCAATCTTTTCGGATAGACATCCTCTTGCAACTCGCTAGGATATTGAGCTCCTCTTTGTCACTCTCCTGGACTTGACGACCGCAACTGACATACACCGGGATTTTGAGCTACCTTAGAGACTCTCCTAAATGAGCCGAGTTGCATTCGAGTCTATCCCTTGGATCTGATGGGCCCTTGGGTATTCTCGTCAATTTACCCCTCAGCATCCGGAAAGTCTTTGTTCAGATGTCCTTCGTCAGCGGCTACCCCGATCCCTTCCCTGTTTACACCCCCAATATGTTTTATTCCAACGATTACCCCCAACGTCATGCCCCGTCACGCCTCATCACGACTGCAATGGTTTCACTGGTTTACTTTGTCATGGTCTCATGGTTCCTGGTCCCCCTGTTTTCTCTGGATGGCAGTACGCTAGCAATGGTCTCTGTTTTTCTTCTTCTGTCTCTCGTCACAGGTGAGGTTCGCTTCCTTGCTTCCTTGTCTGCTTGCTTGCTTGCTAGCTAGCTTCACTTGCTTGCTTGCTGGCTTACTTGTGAGGAAGCCGACGACCTTCTCTGGATGTCAGGAGCTGCTATGGTGTCCACGTCAACACTGCGATTTCTTGCAAAATCTCCCTGATCCTGATGTAGGCTAAGGTAGATAGCAATATCATCCACTGTGTATAGAATTCTCTGTCGTACTCTTGTGACTGTGCGCTGAAAACATGAACTGGAGGCGTCCGAGGTGCTGATTCGCCCAGTGTGCGCCTTGCGAGACGGTAGTCGAGACGCCGGTATCCAAGTACAAATTTCTCCCCAACTGCATAGCCGATACCGAAGTCAATGTCTTGCGTCACATTCCCCGCGAGCATTCCGTCGCATCCGCAATGTATGGAACGTCTCTGGGCCATGGAATGGGCGGCGCCCAGTGTCATCTCGTTCCACATCCGTCCGGTAACTGCCGAAAACGGACGTCCCCTTTTGCCCTCGGAGCAAAGTGAAGGCTTTTTAAGCTTAAGTTGAGGCTCTGTCTTTATGACGCATAGCGGCCTGACGCACAACATAGAGATGCGTTCTATGGCTTGGCCCGACAGAGTTTACATCGTCATCAGTGCATCCCCGGGGCCATCGGCGCGCAGCTCACATGTCCCAGAGTCGTGAAGCGGAATGCCAGTCGAACACGCCGATACAAACTACAACAACAACACAAGTTTTCGTTCCAAGCAAAGCCCATGCAAGTAGCCGCAAAGTGACATTTCTTTGCAGAACTAGGCACCATGCTCCCCCAGCATGTCATCAATCTGCCTCCTAAAAGAAACCAAAACGAAAACCCGCGTCCTAGATCCAACCACGCAGCATTCCCAATCAACATCCATACACCGCCTGCTCCATGACTGCCCGAATATGATCCGGGTTACTTGTTCTCCTGGACGCCGGATGCTTGCTAGGAGGAGGGCTCGAGTGATCCGTCGTCGTGCTGCCCCCATCGTCGTCGGTTTGGATGCTCGAGTCCTCGCTGTCGGAGCTGGCACTGTGACTGAGAGGCGGAGAAGGGAATCTATATGTCGACTTGCTCTGATCATGGTCCGCCTGCTTGGGAGAGTCGTCGCCGTCGGAGCTGTCACCGGGAAGGGAATTCGAAAGATCCGCCGTCTTGTTCGGATTCCGATCACCGCGCTGGCTCGCTTCACCACCCCCGGCATTGCCACTAGGAAAAAGATTCCCATCACGCGCCGTCGAACTCCAATTATTATTCCATTCCATCGTCGACTGACCATGCTCCGGTCCCTCGTCCAAAGTCCTGACAACATGATAACACCCTCGCACAGTCACCAAATCTCCACCGAGACCTTGCTCAATCCGAAGCTCCATGGAATTGTACAACATTGTCGGTTGCTTCTGAAAGTGCTTCTCCTTGTGCTGTGCGAAACCCTCCATATCATTGACGGGAAAGGTTTCCGTACAGTTTCTCCAGTCGCAGAGACGGAGGGTGTATCTGGTGTGGCGGCGGCTGGGCATGATGAAGGATGGTGGTGTGCTGGTTGGTTGGGAATTGGTGGCGGGATAGGAGGGGATGGGTGTGTAATAAGTGAATGTGATAATGATTCTGCTGTAAAAGGAGTGCGAACAGGTATCCGGAGGGTGCAGGTGGTGGAGGTGGAGTGGAGAAGAAGAACATGGGAGGTGTAGGATGGTTATATATTTGTGTCTTTTCGAAGGCAGGAAGTAGGGCATCGAGAAGGGGTAAGTGCAGGCGGACGGCCGAAGTTGCAGACCGGGGAGAAGAGGAAATGTCGAGTACATGCCCCTGTGGTGGCTGTTTCCCTCCTCAGACCATATTCTGTGCCGCTTGCACGAGATTGTGAGCCGCCTCTGAGCGTGTTGTTTGGTCTTGCGCCCTCAAACATCAGTAGAAAATATATATCAGCATTTAAATGCACCGTCGTCGAATGCATTTGGAGGCGGGTCACATATACGTTCAATTCCATTGCTTCAACGGACTCCAATGATGTCGATACGCATCATCACTACCTCACGCAAACTGCAGACAATACATTTCATGCTTTAAGACCTTTCTGACAGAATACTTCACTCTATCCATACCCAGCAAAACCAAACACAATGAAAACCCCAATCGACACGATCAAGAAGACCTTTTACGTACACCAATTTCCAAACTATAATAGCGCGAGAGTAGTGGCAACACCCAAGCCTCGACTGTCCGTCTTCGCAATCGAAAGGATAGCTAACTACCTACGGAATCAGAAGATACAGATGCACACGGTGGATATAACCGGTCCCATGTGAGGCGATTCATTTCACCATTCCAAAGTTCACATCCAAGATACGCCAAATAACGTCAAGCCGTCTCGAGTTCGGGCCCCATAGGCGGGTAGCATACTCAAAGATTCACCGTCATAATGAATATTTATAAATAATCATTAAAAGGTCAAATTGAGAGTTGGGATCGCATTTCCATTGAAAAAAAAGTTGAGGAACTGATACTGGCTACCTAGTCATTACCAACCATTTCCACGCCGACGCTAAGTGCATCCATTCTGCATGGCAACCATAAACCTTCGAACACCGTGCCTAACCATCATCATCATCGATCATCAATCAGTCCTGTTCCAAGTCTGACACCCATGGCACCATCCACCTCCACTGACCCCTTCTCCCATCGGGTGAGCCACTCACAACTTGGCCCGATTAGCCGTAGGATTCTTATCGACGTCAAACCGATCCAGATCCATAACCTTGGTCCAGGCGCGCACAAAGTCACGCACAAACTTCTCCTTGGCATCGCTCTGCGCATACACCTCGGCCATGGCCCGGAGCTCCGCCTGGCTGCCGAAGACGAGGTCGTTGCGCGTCGCAGTCCACTTCTTCTCTCCGCTCTTGATGTCCCGGCCCTCAAACACCTCGTCGTCGGGCGAGATGCTCTTCCACTGGGTGCGGGTATCGAGGAGGTTGACAAAGAAGTCGTTGGTCAGCTTGCCGGGCGTCTTGGTGAAGACGCCGTGCTGCGAGCCACCGTAGTTGGCGTTGAGCACGCGCAGACCGCCGACCAGGACGGTGAGTTCGGGAGGTGTGAGCGTCAGCAGGTGCGCCTTGTCGACGAGCATGAACTCGGTCTTCACGCGGTCGGTGCCCTTGCCGTAGTTGCGGAAGCCGTCGACCGTGGGCTCGAGGTGGCTGAAGGACTGGACGTCCGTCTGCTCCTGGGATGCATCGGTGCGGCCAGGAGTGAAGGGGACGGGGACGCCGGCGGCCTTTTCGATGGCAGCAGTACCGGCAAGAACAATGAGATCTGCGAGGGAGACCTTCTTGCCACCAGAGGCGGAGTCGTTGAACTTCTTCTGCACTCCCTCCAGGGTGGACAAGACCTTGCTCAGCTGCTGGGGATTGTTGACTTCCCAGTTCTTCTGTGGCTCAAGCCGGATTCGAGCGCCGTTCGCACCGCCACGCTTGTCGCTGCCGCGGAAGGTGGAGGCGGAAGCCCAAGCAGTGTAGATGTACGCAGCCGAGTCGATGTCGGTAGCGAGGATCTCCTTCTTCAACTGGGCAATGTCCTGCTCATCGATGATAGGATGGTCCGCAGGAGGGACATAGTCTTCCCACAAGAGGATCTCCTTGGGGATCTCCGGGCCCAGCCAGCGGGACCTAGGACCCATATCACGGTGCAACAGCTTGAACCAGGCGCGAGCGAATGCATCGGCGAACTGATCGGGATTCTCGAGGAAGCGACGAGAGATCTTTTCGTACTCGGGGTCGAAGCGGAGAGCCAGGTCGGTGGTCAGCATGCGGGGCTTGTGCTTCTTGTTGGGGTCGTATGCGTCGGGAATGATTTCCCCAGCATTCTTTGCAACCCACTGGTTGGCGCCTCCAGGGCTCTTCTCCAGCTCCCACTCAAATTTGAAGAGATAGTCGAGGAAGTCTATGCTCCACTTGGTCGGGGTCTTGGTCCAGGTGACTTCTAGGCCGCTGGTGATGGTGTCGGGACCCTTTCCGGACTTGTAGCTGTTCTTCCAGCCCAAGCCCTGGTCCTCGAGAGGAGCTGCCTGCACCTCGGGGCCGACATGCTCTGATGAAGACGCACCGTGAGTCTTGCCGAAGCTGTGACCGCCAGCGATCAGGGCAACAGTCTCCTCATCGTTCATAGCCATACGTCCGAAGGTATCGCGGATGTCCTTTCCCGCAGCAACGGGATCGGGGATACCATCTGGTCCCTCGGGGTTGACGTAGATCAGGCCCATGTGTGCTGCGGCCAAAGGCTTCTCGAGATCACGGGTGTGGATATCGGGGTGGTCCTTCTTGTGCTCATCGGCATCCAGAACCGAATGTTTGTCGGTACCCTCGTGGCCCTTGGAGTAACGGACATCATTGCCCAGCCACGTGGTCTCGCTACCCCAGTATACCGACTCGTCGGCTTCAAAGGTATCGGGACGTCCACCAGCGAAACCGAAGGTCTTGAAGCCCATGGATTCGAGGGCTACGTTTCCAGTGAGGAGATAGAGGTCGGACCAAGAGATCTTGTTGCCGTACTTCTGCTTGATGGGCCAGAGCAGGCGGCGGGCCTTATCGAGGGAGACGTTGTCAGGCCAGCTATTGAGAGGAGCGAAGCGCTGCTGGCCGCCTCCACCTCCGCCACGGCCGTCAAAGACACGATAGGTGCCGGCGCTGTGCCATGCCATCCGGATCATAAGGCCGCCGTAGTGGCCAAAGTCGGCGGGCCACCACTCCTGTGAGTCGGTCATCAGGGCGGCAATGTCCTTCTTGAGGGCGTCATAGTCCAAGCTCTTGAAAGCGGCAGCATAGTCGAAGTCATTGCCCATTGGGTTGCCCTTTTCGGTATGCTGGCGCAAGATGTTGACCCTGAGCTCGTTGGGCCACCAGTCGGCATTCTTGGTTCCGCCGCCAGCGACGTTTGCGTGCTTGATGGGGCACTTCTTTTCAGAACCCATGTTGGATGGTTGCAGTTATGTGATGATATGGAAGGGGTGAGAGCGAGAACGAAAGGGTGAATGGTTCGGTGAACGATCGAGTCGTGGGAGAGCGAATGATGGAGCGGTATTGAGGAGGGTTGGAGCACCTTAAGAGGAGGATTGAAGGAGGCCAGAACGGCGTAGCTGACTGAAGTATTGCCATGCACCTACCCCTCAGATATGGGTCACGTGAGAAGCTAAAGTGGGGCGACTCTGCCAAGTCCCGAGGTTAACCCCGCCGCTAGTCTCCCGCGCAGCGAAACGCATCGAAGGCCGGGAATGCCACCAAGCAAGCAGTCATTATTAATCTGGGGGTTCCAGCCAATCGACAACTTTCCTTAGAGATCATGGCCGTTGTTGCGGATCGACGGGTTTCCCGTTGTCCGGGGTAGTAATCAAATAACCAACATGGTTCTCACCCATAGTGTACCAGTAGTTATCTGCGTCCTGTGTACTATATGCATGACCCCACCTCTCCGTCCTGGGGTCTACTCCCTATGTATCACGACATCATTCTTAAGAGTTGACAAATTCTGACTGTCGTAACTCAAATACTCGTGCAAGGAACGGTGAATGCCTGACCTGCTGTACCTCATCTACCCGAATGGATGACAATTACAAATGCAGCCCTACACTATCCCCATACAGGAAGGCGGGGACATCGCACATCTTACGCCACACTTGGGACGACGCCACCGCTGACAACATATCAGCCACGTCCAACATCGTGCAACAAACAATCATTGCAACCACCATCGGCGATCTATCAGTCACCCTGCCGCGCGAGCTCTGCTTAGTTCGATAACGTTCTCAATCCAGTAGCACCACCCATCCTCTGTCCACTAACGTCAGCGACTGGCTCATGCACGGGACTGGCTCGTGCACGATTTCGGGACATTCACCAGCTACAACAGTGAGGCTGTACAAGGCTATATATA